TACCGCAACATCCGTACCGCAACATCCGTACCGCAACATCCGTACCGCAACATCCGTACCGCAACATCCGTACCGCAACATCCGTACCGCATTCATCATCACTGATAATAACTGTTGCACCTTCAAGATTCAAAGATCTTTTTGATGATGGTTTAAAATTGTTTGGGTGTGGAACAATTGAATCAGCATATTTAGAAGTACTTCTTCCACTTCTAGTTTCTAAGCAATTCTTGTAAGTTTTATTAAAATTGTTACCATCACGTCCTGATTCTGAGTCTTTCAAATCTAAACTAATAAAATTATCATTTGCATCAATTAATTCATTAAATAATCCAAATCTAACTGTTTTTCTGTTTTTAAGATCATTTGGGAGTGAAGTTTTAGATGTTTTATCATCAATTTTACTAAATTCATTGTAAAATAATAATTGTTTTTTTCTTTCATTATTAAAAAATGGTATATTTTCTTTATCTCTTGAAAACAAAGCTTTTGAATTAAGATCATGAACGAATTTTTCAATTGGTATAAAATCTTGTTTATTAGCATCAATAATTTCAATGTCATAGTTTTCATTGCATTTGTTTCTTAAAATTGATTTCAATCCATTAGTATTATTGCATTCTTTGGATTCACTTGAATTATGACTTAATTGATTTTCTGTTTGAAAATGTAAAGTTTCTGGGATATCATCAATTTCAGTATTTTTTGTATTTCCAGTTTCAATTGGTTGTGATAATGTTGTTGATTCATGTGGAATGTTAGTGATGTTTTTATCATCAGTATGTTTTGAGTTTTCAACTTTAGTTGGTTGTGCTGATAATTCTTGGGAAATGTCAGTGATATTTTCAAATTTAGTATCTTTTGTGTTTCCAGCTTCAGTTGGTTGTAATACTGCTGATGATACTTGTGAAATGTTAGTGATGGTTTTATCATCAGATTCAGTCTCTTTTGAGGTTTCAACTTTGGTTGGTAGTGATAATGTTGTTGATACTTGTGAAATGTTTGTGATGTTTTTATCATCAGATTCTGTATGTTTTGTGTTTTCAACTTTAGTTGGTTGAGATAATGCTGATGATTTTTGGGAAATATTAGTGATATTATCAGATTTAGTATTTTTTGTGTTTCCAGTTTCAGTTAGTTGTGATAATGCTCTTGTTTCATGTGAATTTTCAGTAATGTTTTTAACATCAGATTCAGTATCTTTTGTGTTTTCAGTTTTAGTTGGTTGTAACAATGCTGTTGCTTCATGTGAAGTTCTAAAAAATTCGTGATAAAATTTATATTCAAAATTGATGAGGTTATCTAATTGATGGTAAATCGGGAAATTAAGACTAATTGGTTCTTCTTCAGTTGATTCTGAGATTGATTTTGTTTTATTTAATGCTTCAATTCTGTGTAATGAAACGAATTGAGTTGGGGTTGATTTTTCTAATTTAATTAAATCATCTAAGGATTGATTACTTGAATTGGTTGGAAATTTTTTGGTTTTTGTTGAAGGTGAACTAAAATTTTTATTTGGTCTTGTAAAAAAATGAATATTGGCGGTTGATTTAAAAGTTTCATTTGGTGAAGTAATTGAATTAATGGTTGAATTAAATTCTTTGGTTTGGTTTACTGATGGAATATCAAATAAAACGTTTGGTTGGTTTTTTAAATTTAAATTGGTTGATGGAGTTTCTGTGATTAAAGGATTAATACATAAGTTAATATTAGTGAATTGAGGATGCATTTTAAAGTATATTAACTAAGTATTATTGATGTAAGATTGTAAAAAGTTGTTTGTTGATATGTAAATTTGCAACTAAAAAAATTAAAATTTATATTTTAATTATTTATAAAGAGGAATAAACACAAAAATTAAAAATATAAAGTAGAGGATGTTTTATGTTATTCTAAAAAATTTAAATATAAGATTAATAAATCGAATACTTAATAGAATTACTTAGTATGAACAGATTCATGAAATTTTTCAATAAGTGTAATTACGAGATTATGAATAAGTTAATCAATTATATATCTGAATTTTATGAAACATACTAAAAGAATAATAATATATTAAGTGTTTCAGGTACCTAATGTAGTGTTAATTAGTTCAAATTGTACAGAGTTAATTTCTCAGACATGAAAATATGCCATTGAATACTAAAAACAACTCTGATAAATTTGAATTCATTTTACTATTCACCAATTCTGATTATGTGTAGTAAAATTATATTTGGTTAATTGTTTTATACGTTGCAAATAAATTTGACACACAATCTTGACTTCATGCAATATATTTTGTTTAATGCTAATTAAAACTGATATCAAGTTGTTGATTAGCTTAAGAAGTAAAGGCTATGACTAGGACTAATTCAACTTTCTTGTAAATAAGAGTTATCATTTTAATTTTCAATAACTTAATAAACGAAAATTTTGTATTCCACCAATATTCCAAATTTGGCTGCGAAACTAGAGAAAACATCATGCATCTACGAAATTTATTTGACTCAATTTAAACAAAATATTACCTTTTCATTAAATTTCTACATATCTAAAGTTTATTCTATACAATTTATCAAACTATTTAAAGCCCCCAAAGCGTTACCACTTTTTATTGAGTCTTTTGCTAATTTTACTCCATCTCTCCAATTATCAGTTAAACCAGCAACATATGCAAGAGCAGCTGTATTCAACAAAATATAATCAACTATAGGATGATTATCTGAATCTCTTATTATAAATTCATCGTGATCTTGCTTTAAGATATGTTTTAAGATTTTAGCATTTTCTTCAGGTGTACCGGACCTCACTTTATCTAAAGAATGTTCAGGTAATCCAAAATCTTTTGGTGATATACGATCTCTCTTGATGTCTCCATTTTTTTCTACCAACCAGATTTTTGTAGAACCACATGGGGCAATTTCATCTAATACACATTCACCAAATACAACCATTGTTCTTTTATGTACATTACTTTCTTTTGCTAATATAGAAGCTGCTTTTGCGTAACTTTCACCTAATTTATCACTATAAACTCCTAAAATTCTTGATTGTATTGGAATTGGATTTATTAAAGGTCCTAATATATTAAAAATTGTAGGTATACCTAATTGACTTCTAACATTTGCTACTATTCCCATACCTGGATGAAATGAAGGTGCAAATAAAAAACAAAATTTTGATTTTTTAACAATTTCAGGTAATGTCACAACATTTATTTTTGATAAATCAACTCCTAGTGACTTGAGTAAATCCCCTGAACCTGAAGTTGAAGTACTTGCTTTCCCACCATGTTTACATACTGGTAATCCAATACCTGCTGCAACAATTGCAGATGAAGTTGAAACATTAAAAGTATTTTGTCCATCTCCACCAGTTCCTACTATATCAATATAACCATTTTCATCTACTAAATGACTTTCTATGGTTTCTGCAAATTCAATTACAGTATTTACTGCTGATGCTATATATTCTGATTCTTGATCTAATCCCTTTTGTCTTAATGCAGTTAAAAATGATGCAATTTGAATATCTGATGCATGACCTTTAAATATTAATTTTATAACAGTTGATAAATCTTGAGGAGTGAAATTATCTAGTAGTATTGATTTAATATATGGTGTTAATACTTTTGTTTCAAAAGTCATGGTGGTGATTGATTAATGGAATTATGATTATTAGTCAAAAGAAAAAAAAAAAAAGTAAATACATAATGTTTATTATTATTACTCACTACAAACCACAAAATTACTTTTTACTTACTTCTTTATCTACATCTAAATATGAATCACAAATAACCCAGCAAGTAAATTCATCTTCTGGCACTTCAAATTTAAAAGATTGTTCTAAATGAGGTAATTGAACTTTCTTTATAGCAAATAATTGATTAGTTGAAGCTTTACCAATTACAATCCACCAATATTCTTCTTTATTAGTATTTGGAACCACTAAAGAATCCATTTCTTCATCTCTTTCCAAAGAAATTACCAATTCTTCATCTTCAATTTCATAACTCAATTTAATATTTGGATATTGATTCACAAAAGTTGCAACTTCATTTAAATCATCATCTGATAATTGTAAAACTTCATCCCTTTCATCATCTTCTAATGCCATTATATCATAAACTGTTTCAACATTATGTTCTTTACATCTTGATAATATTTGTTCATTAAATTTTGGAATTTGTTTCAAGTGGTTTTCAAAAGACCATACTCTTTGATTAATCATTTGGAATATATCCATTGCAATCATTGCATTTAGATAACCTTCACCTGATAATACATCTATACATGCATTTAAAATTTTTGTCAACTTCTCCACAATTTGCAATTGATCTTCTTCAAATTTTTTTGGTAATTTAATTCTTGAAATATATGCTTGAATTAATATAAATGATTTATTGAATTCTTTCATTGGCATTTTCCCTGAAATACTTTTTAGTATTGATTCTTCACCTGATCTTATTGGTATATCCAAAACATTACTAACAGCCAATAATATGTCTCTTAATTTACTTTTACCACCAAGCTGACTTAAGATGTTCAAAGCATCAAATGATAGATTATAATGAGAAGCTATCAAAGCTTTATTTAGTGGTTGCATATCTTCAATAAATTCATTTTTTTCTAATTCTTCTAATGAATCTTCAATCAAAGTAGATAAATATTCAGAAACTCCCATTGATGAAACATTTTTTAAACCATAATAACTCGGATTACTCAAGAGCCTTTTATAAAAAAATGTATGTGTTAAAATATCAATACAATCTTGTCTTTCTTTTAACAATTTACTGACAATTCCATCAATGAAGAATTCATACATCGAAGAACCTAATGAACTTTCTGCAACAATACCAGTGTTTATGAAAGTAGAATAAAATTCAATCATTTCTGAGGAAGTAGTAATTGAAACTTTTTTGGTACTTCTGTTAATCATATTGTAAATATCCACCAAATTATAATCGACATATCCATATCCATCAAAATATTGTGTTCCATCAACTACAACTAATTCTGATTTTGTACTTGGTATGTTATCTTTTGTTGCTACTAAAGCAGATTCTGGTGCAATTTCTTTCACTTTATTAAGTTCTTCGTCATTAACAAAAATTATGCAATCACCATCAACTTTCTCTAATTTTGTATTCAAATTTATTTCTTCGATATTTTCATCTCTTTCAGAAGCTGCAAAATTTATAATATCTGATTTTGAAACATTTAACCACAGACTCATATCACGAGCATCAATCAATGGGAATGACACACCCACAATTCTAACATCTTGAGATAGAATTTTAATTCTTGTGATTAAAAATTCATATATTGGATCAGTTTCAATTAAATGTAAATCATCAAAAATTATCAACTCTATATCCTTGAGGTTTTTCCAACGTTTGACAAGTTCATAAAAATGAGTAGGTGAAGCGGATATAATTCTGTTACTATTAAAAATCTTGACATCTTTTTTCAATTCTCCAATTAATCTTGTACCTAAGTTTTCTGAACCAATGTATACAATTCTTCCATCTACTTCAATTTCAGTAGCCATTTGAACCATATTAGATTTATCATGATTAGTCCCAATGAAAATATTATCATCAGAAGAAATAAGTTCTATAGTTGATGTTTTTTCATTAAAAAATGTTTTGTCCTTCGGTTTAATTACATCAGTAACTAATGAAACTTTCCAAGTACAATTGACCCATTTTGTGCTAACAAATGAGACCATTAAATTGGGTAAATCTTTATTCTCAACATAAAATTCAAAAATTTGTGGTTGTTCATTCAACAAAACTTCTTTAAATTGAATCAAATTACCATCACAATCTTCCAAAAATAAAGCAAATGGTTCTATACCATTCCAACTAGGTATAGCTTCAACTTTAATTTTTAAAAACTTACCAACTGTTTGTACTGTATAATTAATATCCAATTTAGGAAATAATCTCATATATGCACCAATTTGATTTCCCTTTAGATTCAAAATTTCAGCTAATTCTTCAGTAGGTAATTGAAAATATTGATACCATGGTAAATGTGATGATTCAGATGCTTTTATTATATACTGTGGTGCTGAAAATTGTCTTAATGGAGAATCACTTAACCATAGTCTATTTTTAACCATTTTTGATAAATTTAATACATTTTTAGCTAACGATGACCACTTCTTAAATATTGCAATTTCATATAATGCATGTAGTAGTCTATCTGCTGATTGTTTAATATAAATCATATCAGAAATTAATGCATACCCTTCTAAATTTAATCTGGAAATGTATGTTTGTAATAAAATGTTAATTTTAGCCATTGGCTCTGTGGGTAATTCCTTAATTGGTATAGGACATTGTTCCATCAATTTATTTATTTCTATTCTTTCCTCTCTTCTCACTGGTATAAACTGAAATTCACCTGAATGAGCAAAAACTCTAATGATATCACTATCAGTATGCCATGGTTTTAATAAGTTATTAAATTTACTTATTGTCTCATAGCTTATATAATGATATGATGCAATTTTACCCAATTGTGTTGATTTAACAGCACCACTATCATATAGAATCAATTTATGTTGAGATAGCACAGTAAAAGCTGCATGTATCAAATTTAACCTATCAGGATGATCTTTAACAAATAAATATGTGTAACTCAACCAATCTATACCATCATCTAATGTTTTAATTGTGCCAGCAACAATTTCAGCATTGACATTATCTATTAATTTTGTCATGAGTTGTGATTCTATTGGATATTGTTGATTTAATATAGCAAGATAATATTGAATTTTATCTTGAGATGTAATAATTATACCTTCACCATTTTTATCATATCTTGGTCTACCGGCTCTACCAAGCATTTGAAAGATATCTTGAGGTGATAATTGAGTCCAACCACCTATTTCTGGTGAATATACTTCTGTACCTTTTATAATCACAGTATGAGCGGGTAAATTAATACCCCATGCTAATGTTGCAGTAGACACAAGTCCCTTTAAGTGGCCTTGAGCAAAAAGATCTTCAACTAATGTTCTATCTTCTTTGTTTAAACCAGCATGATGTATACCGAAACCTGCAACCATTATTTTACGAAGTTTATTATTGCTAACTCTTTCACTTTCTTGTAATAAGATTTCTTTTGATGTTTCATTTAGTAAATCTTCACTAATAGAATCTGCTAAAAATTCAGCAGTTGAAAAAGTTTCATTTCTCAGATGTACAAATATAATTAATTGTTGATTTTGTTCTAATACATTTAAAGTTTGATCATAACAAGCTTCATTCATTGCTGCTTTCTTTTTTACGGCTTTTTGATCTTTTATTCCAATAAATTTTTGTTCCAAGGGACAAGGTCTATAATTTGAATCAAAATAAAAAATCCCATCACCACTAGCTTCAATAAATTTTGCAACATCTTGATAATTTGGTAATGTAGCAGATAACCCAACAATTCTTATTTCATCTCCACTTCGTAGAATTCTTGAAACTATACCTTCCAAAACTGGACCTCTTTGATCATGTAAAAGATGAATTTCATCAATGATTAATAACTTCACTAATTTCAAATATTCATGATTTTTCCTGGTTATTATATCCCATTTTTCTGGAGTTGTGACGATAACATTTGTTTCTTGTATTTGTTTTTGAGTCAATGATGAATCACCAGTTAATTCATTTACAATTAATCCATAAACTGAAGTTAATCTTCTTTGGAACTCCCTCATTTGTTCTTGTACTAACGCTTTTAAAGGTGCAATATACACAATTTTGAACTCTTCTTTCCGTATGTGATTTGTTCTATAATTACCAATAGTTCTCAACATAGTTAGCATTGCAACGTTTGTTTTACCAGCTCCTGTAGGTGCACAAATTAATAAATTTTCATCAGTCTCAAAAGCCATTGGGAAAATTTTCGATTGTATCTTGTTGAATGTTGTAGTCTCATTTCTTGGAAATGCTTCTCTTGCCCATTCGGGTAATTTGGTGGTGGGAAGTAATTCGATTTCTTCAGTTGGTGCTGTATTTGGTGGTACAGTAATTATATCATATTTTGGTGTTTTTTCTTGATAAGTTCCCTTAGGTAATGTGACTTTTAAATCTCCTTCATAAGTGTCTGGTAATTTTCTTCTTTGTAATTGTTTTATAGTTCCTTGTATGTCTATGTAATCTAGTATTAAGTGAGTTAGATTCATTTCTTGCAATTCTTTATAAATTTTTGATTTATCTTCTATTTGTAGTCGTTTTGAAAACACTATCCTCCATCGATTATCTATAATGCTTTGATAATGTCGTGAAAGTGGTCGAAGTTTAGAAGTTAATTGATCATTTGAGATTTTTTTATCTTGTAATAGTTTGTAAATTTCATTTGAGTTTTCTTCACTTTGTAAATTTCTCCAGTCAAAGATCTCCGAGGCGTTATCTGTTTCTTCATCTCCTGATTGTTCTTCATCCTCCTCTATTTGTTCTTCTTCATCTTCTTCGTCTAATTCATTTATTTCAACTGCGACTATCTCTGATTCTTTAGATGGTTGATGTTTTGATATTATATTCTGATGTTGAGTTGCTAAATTAATTAAATCACTTAGCACTTCATCTTGAATCGTAATATTTAACAACTGATTAATTTCTGACCTTTTTGTCGTAATTTGTATCTTTGAACCAAGTACATCTAGTAAGACTTCAACTGCTGAATTTATGATTTCTGGGGAAGAATCTAATAAATAGCTCCGTATTTTATTTAAAAATAAATCATAGATGTCATCTAGTTCATTTTGATTTTGATTTGAGTTTACATCAAGTACTTGAGTCTCATCATCCATTATTTGCTTTGAATTTGAATTTGGTGGTTGTAAAACTAAATACGTAGAACTGTAATAATTACTTTTCAAATTCATATCGCGCGCGCAAAATTGAAAAGTATAGAGATGATTGATTATAGAATTACCAATTTTCTTTATCATTTAATCGTATTTAATCGTATCTTTGAATATATATTAAAAATTTATATTACTATGTCATTTAGTAAACTTTATTTAAAAAGTTCTTCTTTTCAAAATCCCATGAATCATCAGAAATTCTACCTCTTAATACAGGAACTTCACTACCTGGTACATAAACATCTTCGAATAAAATATCCATTTTAGCTTCTGGTGGAGGATCAGCTTCTGCTGCAGCAACTTGTTCATCAACATATTTTCTTGCTGCTTTATCATAAGATTTAATTTCATCTTCAGTCGCAATATTTTTTTCCAATAAAACAGCTTTTAATCCTGCAATTGGATCATTTCTTGATCTCATATGTTGAACTTCTTCTCTTGTTCTATATGTAGTACCTGGATCAGACATTGAATGACCACCATATCTATAAGTTTCATATTCTAATACTAATGGTCCATTACCTTGAGCAGCCCAATCTTTTGCAAATTTAGAACCTTGATAAGTTGCTAAAACATCCATACCATTAATTTTTAAACCTGGAATATATTGACCTCTCTTATAATATTCAGTCATTGCTGAACTTCTTGCAGCTGCAGTACCCATACCATATTTATTATTTTCACAAGCAAAGATACAAGGTAAATTCCATAATTTTGCCATATTATAAGCTTCAAAAACTTGACCTTGATTAGAAGCACCATCACCATATAAATCAAAACATACAGCTTTTTCACCCTTATATTTATGAGAAAATGCTAAACCTGCTCCTAATGGGACTTGAGCACCAACAATACCATTACCTCCATAAAATCCAGGTGCAAACATATGCATTGATCCACCTTTACCATATGAAATACCTGATCTTCTACCCATTAATTCAGCTAATACTGATTTAACTGAAGCTCCTCTCATAAATGCGAAACCATGACATCTATATGATGTTATAACAGTATCTTTTTTATCTATAGCATTTTCAATACCAACAGCAATTGCTTCTTGACCAACTGATAAATGACAAAATCCTCTAATTTTTTTAGCTTTATATAATGCATCGGCTGCCATTTCCATTCTTCTAACAATTATCATATCTTTATACATTTTTAATAAAGTTTCTTTTTCAGTTTCAAATTCTAATGGTGGAATTTCTAAATTATAACCTTCAAATGATGATTCTGGTAAAGTAATTGATACTAAATCTGAACCATCTTTAACAAAAGATTCAGTTGCCATTTTTCTTGATGCTATAGTAGATGTAGTGGTAGTAGTTTTTGAGATTGTTGATCTCATCAACTGTCTGGTAGTTGATGTATTAACAAGACGACTCATCACTAAGTAGAATTGGTTGAATTGATTAAGCTAAAGTTGTAGAAGATTTGTTGATAACTTAAGATAGATTTAAAAAAATGTCCGTTTAAACTTCTCTCTTCTCTAATCTTAAGGTTAGTTATTAAATTTACATAATAAAATTTCAATATATTTTTTTCGGTTACAAAATTATTTATTTTATGTATGGTTGACAGTATTCCGAATGGATTTAAAAGTCCGAGTATAGCCAACAGGTCAAGTTAAAGTAAGAGTTTACCAACAAAACTAATGGAATAATCTCCAAGATGTATGAGTCTAAGTAGCTACAAGGCATCATAGTTGAACTTGTTCTAGTAAAATTATTTAATAGGACATACATCTGAGATACTATGTATTACTTTGATTAACTTTATCAACTCTCAACCGCAATACTAATTGAGTATGAGAAACACTATTTTTACTCATCTACCAATAACTCATACTTCTTTAATAATACCATAATCTTTTGTTTAGTTGTTCCCTCTTAGATGTTGCTCTTTTACTATCTTTTCTAGTCTCTTAACCATGTATTAAGACTAATCATTCCGATTTATATACTAAAATTACTTTTGTTTAAGAATTAATCTAAAGTTTGCTGCAAAATTCACTCAAATGAATATTATGCTCATAATGAATTCTTTGAAGGATCTATCTCCTCTGTCGATATTATTATTCTTCTAGAAACTATATTTCGTTGAGCTCGTCAAAATGACTTGACCGATAAGTGATCAAGTTAGACCGTATTATACAAAAATAAAATGTCAACTTTGTTTAGACGTAATGTCAAATTATGTCAATGGGCTTAATTTTTTTTAAACGATTCAATCAAATATTATGCACAAACCTCATCTTCCATGACAATTTATCAAAAATCTTCAAATTTCTCCAGATCTAAAGATTAGATTTTGTTCCTTGTTTACTCTCCACCACATAAAGTGAGGCTCAACCACAAAATTTCCTTTTTAAAAATCTTGAAACAAAAAAAAAAAACCCTTTGAGATAAAAAAAAAATTTAATTAAATTTAAATTAATTAATTATTAAAATTTCATGTTAAATAATTAATTATAGAAAAAAATTGAGAGAAAGAGACGATCAGCAACCAACTACAACTATTTATCACTCTACAAACAACCATCATCAACATAATCAACCATGAAATCATTTTCATCATCATCAGCTACAACTTCAACAACTTCACAATCACAATCATCACCATCAAGAAAAAATTGGAGAACTATATTAAAATCAAATAAGCAAAAGGGGGGAAATACAAGTAGTACATCTGATTATGATTATAGTTCAGCATCATCAAAGTTATTTCCCACGTTATCAATACAAGAATCATCACATTCTCCTATATCAAATATCTCAACTCCCACGTTTGATCATGTAAATTATAAAACACCAACTACATCACCTATAAGATTAAATCCCAGTCCAAGAAATAAGTTTATTCCCACAAAAGATCCTTTTAATTTTGAAGATCATCAAGAACAACCTATTTTACATATGGAAGGATTAAATATATCATTTGCTAATATTTTAAATAATAATTCACCACAAATAAAACAACAAGAAACTAAAATAGATAGTCCAAAAAGTATAAGAAGTAACAAAAGTTTTGCATCCAAAATATTACCAATGGAGAATAATTGTTTTATATGTTCAGAATTATTACTGAATGTTTTCCAAAGTGAAAGAATTTTAAAATTAAATTGTGGAGATTCTGTTCATTATGAATGTTTTAAAGTTATGTTTAGTAAAGAACTAGAGGATATTGATAAAAATAAAACTATAACTTTCCCAAATTTATGTCATGGTTATATATGTCAAGGAGAAAACCCAATAGAAATTGATTATAAACGACTTAATATACTGCCAAGACGTACATCATTAACACCAAAAAGACCAGCACCAGCTCAACCAAATAGAAACCTGGAAGTTAAACAAAGTATTAATTTTGAAGCTTTAAAATCTACATTAAATGATGTACAAAGAAAACCACTGAGAAGAGAACTGAAAAAGGAACTAAGAAGAGATTCACTGAGGAGATTTTCATCAAAAAGAGATACTATTCATTCAAGTATAAGATCTGTTTCACCAGTAACTACAATATCAACTACAATGACTGAAACTTATAATTTAAATGATTTCAGTGATGGAGAAATAGAAATAGTTATAAATCAACTAATTAAATTTTTATTAGATCATTGTCCCAACTTTAATTTATCAAAATTATCATTATTAGGTAAATTAAGAGTTGCTGATCAATTACAAGTTAATATTAATAATCAATTTACAATTAAATATTGTTATCTTTTTGAAAATTACCTTATAATTTGGAATAATGATATAGATCCAATATATTTTACAATGAAAGATACAAAAGTTATATGTAAAGGTTCAATAATTTCAATTTATGGAGTAAATGATTTAACAATATCAATAAAATCTGAATTAAGTTCAATTATAGAAAAATGGGCTATATTATTAATGGATTCAAATTTAGAATTACCAGGTACAAAATTAACAAATACTATATTATTAAAACCAAAATTACCATTACCCATTTCAGAAAGGAATTCAATAAGAGAAAGTTTTTTCATAAATAGACCAAAAAGTTTAAATTTAAAATTATTAGAAACAGTTGAATCAATATCTCCAACTGATAAAAGTAATAAATCAATTAATAATTTATCAAATGATATTTCAATGGATATTTCAAATGATATTACTAATGATGATTCAGATATTGATTCAGATATTGATTCAGATGATGAATTAATTAAAAATGTATTAAATGATAAGAAAATTGATAATAAACCAATAATTGATTTAAAAGATTTACAAAATTTGATATCAGAAATTGATCAAGCAATGCTTTGACAGTATTTATTTAATCAATCTATGGTAATGATGATAATTATATTATTAATAAAGTGACTAGCTTTGATATACTAGACATAATTTTGTGTAATATAGTAGTAGTTTTTGTGTATAATCTCGTAAATTTGCTTCTTAAATTTTTAATCTCCACATAATATAGCTGATTCAGCACCAGCTAATATGATTATAACTAAACTAAATATGGTTCCGTTTATTAGCTTAGCCGTAAAGCGTTCGTTTTGTAATCGAAAGACCATAGGTTCAATTCCTATATAGGACATATATTTATTATTATGGTATAACAACATTAGTTAGTGGTTTAATAGCTATAGTAACTAATGATATTAAAAGAGTTATTGCTTTATTGCGTGTAAACCTAATTGCGCACTTTTAGCTGTAGCAGCAAGTAATAAGAATAGACATGGAGGGGTGATAACCCCCCCCCTTGTAGGGGGGTCATTAATTATACTTTAAGAGTATGATTTTCATAGATTATAGGTTAATCTAGAATACGAATAAACTAAATACTAATAAGAATAAAATTCATTAAAGTATTAGGGACCAGTTAGTTTGATCTCGAAGGAGATCTTTAGTTAATACGAGTAAGGTCAATTTACTAAAAAGAAGTTACAATTAAATAAATAATACTTACTTTGTTACAATCTAACCATTTTTTGAAATATTTTCTATCTTTAAATCTTGGAGGAATTATTTTTTTGCTTGAAAAATAATATTAAATAGCAATCCAATATTGAATAATAAGTTTTGTACATTTAGATGATACTTTTAATAGAAAAGAAACTATTTTATTGAAAATATAATTTTTCAATTTAAAATATAATTCAATTTACAACTAAAATTATATAACTTCATAACATAAATACAACCCATTGTCAAATGGATCAAACTATATTATTCAGGTTATCAAATCTTGGTCAACCTGTTAATAATGAAAATATAAATAATGGTGTTTTAAGTTTACCATCAAATGATTATCCTAAAACTTATAAACCTGGTGATATTATTTTTAATTTACAATTTCAATTAAATGCTGCAAGTAAAATTTCAAGAAAGGGGAAATTATATGTTAATGTTCCAAATACATATGATGAAGAATTTGATAGATATAAATATAAAGAAATATCAATTGATTCTTCTTTTCATGAAGATATTTTAATTAAAATTCCAATTTTTAAACCTGGTGCCTATAATTATTATATAAAATATGAAGATGATCAAGGTGAACAAACTACAGATAAATATTATTTCAATGTACCACCTCATTTATCAATAAATGGTCAATTTATTCCATTTAATGCAATTAATGTTGAAACTGTAATATCAAAATGGATTGGTTCATATGATCGTTGGCCAAAAATTTTCCAAAATATCAAAGCAAAAGGTTATAATACAATACATTTCACTCCATTACAAGAAAGAGGTGAATCAAATTCTCCTTATTCTATATATGATCAATTAAAATGGGATCCTGAAATATTTGGAAAAGATAATGATGCAACTAAAAAAATACATACAGTTTTAAATGATAATGAATTATTAAGTTTAACTGATGTTGTATGGAATCATACTGCAAATAATTCAGAATGGTTAAAAGACGCACCAGATTCAGGATATAATCAAGACACTGCACCACATTTAATATCAGCAATTGAATTAGATGAAGCATTGTTGAAATTTAGTGAGAACTTAAAAGAATATGATTTACCAACAACAATAGAAAACGAATCAGATTTAAACAAAATAATTGAAACTATAAAGACAGAAGTATTAGATAAATTACAATTATGGCAATATTATGTATTTAACAGAGAGAAAGCTATAGAAGATGTTAAAAATTCAGAAAATAATACAGATGTTGACGTTTCAAAAATCGACAAAAATGATATAAAACAAGTTTCAAATTTTATATTAGGAGATGAAAAACCAAAATTAGGTAAAAGATTTGAAAATAAATTAGACACTAAAAAATTTGCATCAACATTGAAAAAATTATATGGTAATACTGATAAAGCGGGTGAAATAATTGATATTATAAATGAACCATTATATGCTCAATATGATGATGATTTAAAAACTATTCAACAACAAGTAGGTGATAGGATAAAATTTTTAAGATTAGCTGATAATGGACCAAAATTAGGTGAAGTTACCAAAAAATATCCATTAACTGAACCATACTTTACAAGATTTGTTGATAAAGATGGCAAAAAGCAAGCATTAGCTAACAATGGTTGGATTTGGGGTGGTAATCCATTAGTTGATTTTGCATCGGATCAATCAAAAGCTTATTTAAGAAGAGAAGTTATAGTATGGGGAGATTGTGTTAAATTAAGATATGGATCAAAATATGAAGATTCTCCAAAATTATGGGATAGAATGATTCAATATACTAGAGAATCAGCAAAAGTATTTAATGGATTTAGAATTGACAATTGTCATTCTACTCCATTACATGTTGGTGAAAGATTATTAGATGAAGCAAGAAAAGTAAATCCTAATTTATATGTTGTTGCTGAATTATTTTCTGGATCTGAAGAAATGGATAAAATCTTTGTTGAAAGGTTAGCTATAAATTCTTTAGTTAGAGAAGCAATGCAAGCTTGGAGTGTTGGAGAATTATCTTCATTAGTTCATAAACATGGTGGAAGACCAATTGGTTCTTTAACTTGGTTACCATTAAGTGACTTTTCATACCCTGCAGAAAAAGAACCACAATCAAGAGGTGGTTATACAGAATTAGAAATTCCAAAAGTATTAACAAGTTCTGCTCCTCATGCTATATTTATGGATTGTACTCATGATAATGAAATGCCAGCACAAAAGAGAACAGTTGAAGATACTTTACCTAACGCTGCTTTAGTTGCGTTTTGTTCATCAGCTATTGGATCAGTTTATGGTTATGATGAATGTTATCCACATATACTTGATGTTGTAAATGAAGATAGACTTTATGATTTAAATGATAATAATGGAATAGGTAAAGTTAAAGCAAAATTATACAAGATTAGAAGTGATTTAGCAAAAGAAAGTGAAGATATTGCTCGTGATCATGAAATGTATATTCACCACGAAGGTCAATATATTACAATTCAACGTTATAATGCAAGAACTGGTAAAGGTTGGTTCCTTATAGCTAGAAGCAAATTCCATCAAAATGAAACTGAACAAATTTTATCACCTTCAACATTAGGTGGTACTAAAGTTAAACATGAATTTAGTTATACTTTAAAACAAACTGGTGATTATGAATCAAATAAAGAATATTTAACTGGTATACCAGTAAAAGTCGAGGAAATCGAAGAGCCAAAAGTTGATTATGAAAATGGTGATAGTATAATTCATGTTAATAGTACTTTTGTACCAGGTTCAATATCTGTATTCTCCACAGAAATCCCAGGAGTCGATCAATCATTAGATAATTATGTTAAAGAAGGAGCAATTGAAGCATCGTTAGGTTTAGATTTATATGATTTAAATGCATTACTTTATAAATGTTCACCAGAAGAATTAGATGCAAGTGGAGGTAAAGATAATGTTTATGATATTCCAAATTATGGACCATTAATCTATGCTGGTTTAGAAGGTTGGCAAACTGCTTTAAAACATGTCATATGGTCTAATAACTTGGGACATCCTATTTGTGATCATTTAAGAGATGGATCATGGGCTTTGGATAATGTTGTTGCAAGATTAGATAAATATGTAGCTAAATCAAAGAACTTAGGAAAATTTCAAAATTGGTTAAAAGATAGATTTGATGCTGTTAAAAAAGCTCCTTATTACCTTAGACCTCATTATTTTGCATTAATTGTTGGTATTGCATATGAAGCAGCAAGATTTAGAGCATTGAGACAATTTGGTAAACAAATTCAACAAGCTACAAATTTTGTTCAAAGTTTAGCTTTAACGTCAGTACAAATGGTTGGATATATGAATAATACTTCATTAGTTCCAGATAAATCAGTTCCATGTATAGCAGCAGGATTACCACATTTTAGTAATGATTATATGAGATGTTGGGGAAGAGATGTATTCATTTCATTTAGAGGTTTATTAATTGTACCTGAAAGAAATGAAGATGCTAAACAACATATTCTTGGTTTTGCTAAAACCTTAAAACATGGATTAATTCCAAATTTATTAGATGCTGGTAGAAACCCAAGATATAATGCAAGAGATGCTGCATGGTTCTTTTTACAAGCTATACAAGAATATGTTATAAATGTACCTAATGGAATTAAAATATTAGATGAAAAAGTATCAAGAAGATTTCCATTAGATGATAAATATATTCCAGTTGAAGAAGCATTTACATATGAATCATCAATAAAAGAAATAATTTTTGAAATATTACAGCGTCATGCAAAAGGTATAAAATATAGAGAAGCAAATGCAGGACCTAATTTAGATTCACAAATGAAAGATGAAGGATTTAATGTAGAAGTTGGTATAAATTGGGATACTGGATTTGTTTATGGTGGATCACAATTAAATTGTGGTACATGGATGGATAAAATGGGAGAAAGTGAAAGAGCTCATAATAGAGGTATACCAGGTACACCAAGAGATGGATCAGCAGTTGAATTACAAGGATTATTGAAAAGTGCATTACGTTTTGTCAATCAATTACAAAAACAAGGTAAATTTAATTACAAAGAAGTTGAAAAATCAAATGGTGAAAAAATTTCTTTAATTGATTGGGAAAATTTATTACAACAAAATTTTGAAAAACATTTTTATATACCTGAAAATTCAAAAGATGATTGCAATTATGATGTTGATCCATCATTAATTAATAGAAGAGGAATATATAAAGATTTATATCATTCAGGAAAACCATATGAAGATTATCAATTAAGACCAAATTTCCCAATTGCAATGTGTGTTGCACCAGAATTATTTACACCAGAACATGCCATAAAAGCTATTAATAATGCTGATTTAATAATTAGAGGACCAATTGGAATGAGAACATTAGATCCACTGGATTATAATTATAGACCATATTATAATAATTCAATTGATAATGATGATTTTGCTACATCAAAGGGAAGAAATTATCATCAAGGACCAGAATGGGTTTGGAATTTTGGCTATTTTTTAAGAGCATTTTTATATTTTAAATTCCCCCAAATAAATTCATTAGAATTGTTTACATTATTAAATGATAGAATTCAATATCATATAAAATGGATTAAAGATAGTCCATGGGCAGGATTAACTGAATTAACTAATAAAGATGGTGAATTATGTAATGATTCAAGTCCTACTCAAGCTTGGAGTAGTTCATGTTTATTAGATTTATATTATGATTTATGGAATGATAAAAGATACAAATAAAATACTTTGTTAGATTGTTTTTAAAAATAAAAGATACGATATTAAAGAAATAGAAATTTGTATAGATTACATAGACAAAACTATAGATATTAGACTATAGACAAAATTAATAGAAAAAAAAATATATTTCTAATTACAATTTTTATTTAAATATCTAATGCTCACACGACTTGTATGGCTGCAAAACTTTAAAACTGAGGCAAAATTTTTCGGATAAAAATATTTGAATTTCTTTCAAAGTATAATGATAGCATGATGAAAAATTTGGTTGAAAGTGTGTTTTGATTGTCATGTAAACTCATATACAATTCATTTGACGACTTAGTTTCGAAATATGAACTCAATATTCATATATGTATAAAAAGATAATGATCAATTTTGTTGACTTGATAAAACAAAATTGAAATAAATAATTTTAGTACCGATTATTTCCGATGTTTCAACTGGTAGCATTTTTTTTGTTATTTTTGACATTTTCGGTTCCTTATAAGTTTTATTTAAATCAAAGTCAATAAACTATTTACCTTTTAAATAAAATCAAGAGAAATAGACAATTTAAATGAAGATTTGAAATGTCAGTCTTGTCATTGAATCTACTTATTAAAAGTTGCTTCTAAATTATATTATTATTATTCTATTTCTGTGTTTGAATAAAATATATAATACTATTATTATTATCTATCAATCTCGTAAATTAATTTCTAAATATGCAGCTGAANAAAAAAAAAAAAAAAAAAAAAAAAAAAAAAAAAAAAAAAGAAATTTTAAAATTTAGAAAATAAAGAAAGAATTTTTTATTCTATAAAATTAAATTGATCATTTTTTATTTCATATTATAGATATCATTAGATAACAAAAGAAGTATAAATAAAGATTCAATTCCTATTCTCAATATTCTAATTTATCATTACACAAGATCAATTACGATTTGACATTTTATCATCAATTATTTTATATATAAGTAACAAAATTATTCAATTATGAAATTATTTCAATCTGATTATTTATTTCATTATCCATGGGATCAAGTAACAGCTGCAAATTGGCAAAAATATCCAAATGAATTATCAAGTCATGTTATATCTGTTGATATATTAGGTAGATCTATTATAAATAATCATATTTTAAGAACAGAAAGATTAATTGGTTGTAAACAATCTATTCCAAAATGGTTATCATTTATAGTTGGTGGTCAATCAATAAGTTATGTTAGAGAAGTTAGTGAAATTGATTTGAACAACAAAAGTTTAATTATGAAATCAATGAATTTAACAATGAATCATTTATTATTAGTTAAAGAAACTGTTATTTATAAACCAGATTTACAATTACCTGATTTACAAACTACTTTTAATCAATCAGCTGAAATTACTGCATTTGCTGGTGTTTCTAAAATTTGTGATAAATTAGAAGAATGGTCTATTGAAAGATTTGGTCAAAATGCTAAAAGTGGGAAATTAGCTTTTGAAAATGTTTTAAATCAATTAACTGAAAAATGGGAACAAACTGGTGTTTTCAAAGATTCAGATTAAAGTAATTGTTGGTTTAATTAATTAGCATCAAATATTTATATGGGAGTGGTTCTACAAATGATTGAACTCAATTGTTTCATTTATTCAGTCAATCAAATACTACATAAAGATTAAAGTCGTTTTTCCATCATTCATCATTTAGCATAAGTTTCAGGTTATTCAGTTCTAGTTTTTATTCATTTTTTCAATTAGCATAAATTTAAAATTTGGATGTTTTAGTTTTGTCTGTTTTTTATTCAATTCTTTAAAGGTTTTACATTATATAAAGATTTATTATAGATTATCATATATATATTCATTCTTGTATTTAGCAAAATTCAATACATATAACAATAAACTAGTAATTTAGTCATTGTAAATTAGTAAACGTTTGTATTTCATTTAAGGGACCTTGTCAAATATGTGATCAGATCAGAAAATAATCGAATATTCTGAAACAAATCTGCACACGATAATAAAATTTACACCCCACAATTTAATGGATTTTTTTTTTTTTTTAATTATTAATTGACGCAATGGCTGCAAATATTATATTTCCATTACAAAGCATTTGGTAGTACCTTAATCGCTAAAAATTTATGAAATTTGCAACCAAACTCAGAGTAATCAATCATTAAATCCAGCCAGTAATTAACTTGTTTATTCAGATTAAGCTATACACTGGAAGCAAAAATATTTATTGAGTAGCAGCAGCAACAGACAAGGTTGAAGAAACAGAAGGAGGAATCATCCAATAAGGATCCCAAACACCAGCACTTGAACAAATAGAAGTAGCTAAAGAAGTTGCAATTTTAACTTCATTACCTATACAATTAGAAGCAATACATTCACCAATTGGACCAGCAAAATTTGGCATAACACATAAACAACCAGTATCCCAATATGGACATGGAGTAACTTTGGTATCTTTTTTAACACATGGTTGAGCACATGATGGTAATTGATCATAAATTTTATCAGCAAATCCATTAATTGATGCTGTTTTAGCTACTGAGGGATATGTTGCCCATGGGTTGACTCCTGTTGATGATGGATTTGGTGGGGCAGTTACTGCTGGTGCTGGAGAAGCAGAAACGATTGAAATAACAGAAGCAATTGGAATTAAAATTGAAAATTTCATTGTCGATTTTTGAGTTTGATGGTTTAATATTAATCCAAGTACCCAAAATAGATAAAAAATTACAGATATTCAGCTCCATTTATAAATTGTGCCAAATTGATTTCAAAAACCCCGATTATGGAAAAGTACGATTGAGACTCAATAAACGCAGTACATCTTTCAACTTAAACAAACCAATGATCATTGATTACTGAAATGGAACTGAAACTCACACCAAAAAAGTTTGTAAATCGGTGAATTATAAAAGTTTCGCAACCATCAAATAATATATTAATGTACAAACCGGATTATTTTACGATACAAAGCCAAGCTTTATTCTCTTGATAAAGTTGTTACATAATAACAAATGTTGGAACTCGTTAAAATCCGGTACTTCATGTCTCTTTGATCTAAAGCATTTTAATGTAACCAAATTTGCAATCGTAATTAAACGCTTTTAAGCGGGTTTTAAAGTTGTCAAATTTTTAAATAGCCAATCAACAAAATACAACAAAAATTTAAATGAAAAATGAGAAATTCCATCTCCAATTAGCAGTACTTGTCCTAAAACCAAGTAAACAACTGCACTGAAGTTGAATCTAAGTGCCAATATGATTGACAAGATTTTGAGGTTATAACCCTAAATTATATTCTTGCACATGTCTTTATTTATTGTCAAATTTTAAAGTCAAATAATTTGTATCTCAGACATCCTACAGAAAAAAATCTTAATAATTTTTCATATTTGCCATTTTACGATTCTAATTTTTACATTTCTTCTTTTCACTACAAATTCAATTTGGTAAGAAAGAAGCAACTTTTGCAGACAAGCCAAGATGCAAATTTTCGTCAAAACCCTTACTGGGAAAACAATCACTTTAGAAGTTGAATCTTCAGATACTATTGATAATGTTAAATCAAAAATTCAAGATAAAGAAGGAATCCCACCAGATCAACAAAGATTAATTTTTGCTGGTAAACAATTAGAAGATGGTAGAACTTTATCAGATTATAACATTCAAAAAGAATCCACTTTACATTTAGTTTTAAGATTAAGAGGTGGTGGTAAAAAAAGAAAGAAGAAAGTTTATACTACTCCAAAAAAAATTAAACATAAACATAGAAAACATAAATTAGCCGTTTTAACTTACTATAAAGTTGATAATGAAGGTAATGTTGAAAGATTAAGAAGAGAATGTCCTGCTCCAACTTGTGGTGCTGGTATTTTCATGGCTAATATGAAAGATAGACAATATTGTGGTAAATGTCACTTAACCTTAAGAGCTAACTAAATGTTGTATATCAAATAGAATTTTTAATTAAATTTGTATAGTATTAATACATTCAACACTTGTTGACTCAAGCATATTAATTGTAGATTACTTCAAATTGATCTCTAGTTTATGGAAATATATCTCCTAAATATATCACGTGACGCAAATATAAAATTATACGAGAATATGGAAATACCGAAACATTATTTTGTAGCACATAAGCTAAATTAAACAATCAATTATAAGTACTAAATAATTCAATGAGTGGCGGGTCCTTCTCAATTTATGAATTAAACTCAGATATAAAAAAACTACTATCAGCAGATAATTTTTTGAATGGTTTATCAGTAAATGATTTTGTTGAAGAAATAAGTAAAGATCATATTTTAAAAGGTGCTGAAGTAAATAAATATGCATACCTTGATCCAAAACCTTATATTAGGTCTTTTGAAAGTACCATAAGAGAATTAAATCAATTGGATATTGAAGCGAATAAACAAAGAATTGAAGGTGAAAAACAAGTTGATACTTATGAACTAAAACATTCAAATAATGTTATAAAACTAAGTGAACTGATGGGTAATTTAGGTCACGAATTTAGTAACTTAGATGATAAAATCTCATTAGTTTCAAATAAAGTTAATCCGTTGGGAACTAAACTAAATAAGATATCAACATCAAGAGATAAGTCAAAAGAAACTATTTTTTTAATCAGAGCATACCATGGGTTTTATACAAAAGGTCAGTATCCACAATTAGAGACTTTAAAATCTAGTTCAAATCCTCAAGATAATATAGATTGTGCTAAATATATAAGACAATTACTTCATTTAGCTAAAAGAATAAGTGATGAATCGATACAGAAAACAATCAAGTGTCTACAAGATATAGAAGCATTTGGGAATAAAATGGAAGATGATTTGCTAAAAAAATTCGATATAGCAACTGGTGGGAATGATGAATCAGATTTTGATATAAAAGTTATGAACAAGATTGCAACAATTTTAAATGAATATAATGGAAATATAAATTTAATGGAAGCATTTGTAAGTAAAAATGAATTATCAATGGATAATGATGAAAATGAAACTACATTTAATGAAGAACAATGGAAAGAATGGGCTGATCCGAATTCAAATATAGAAATGGATGATAATTTTAAAGCATTTTTACAAAATTTAAAATTTGATATAAAATCAAAAGCAAGATTAAGTAAAAAAATATTTAATAATCCAGTTGTTTTGGTAACATTAATACAAAGAATTTATGATAGAGTTATAAAACAAAAAATTTCTGGATTATTACAATTTTCATTACAATTTAATTTATTAGCACATGTTAGAATACTTCATGAATTACATGATTTGGTTGGAGAATTCACAAATCAAATTAAAGATTATATGATCACTGAAGAATACGATTCAGATCAACATTTGCTGCAAACTTTGGACAATTCCTTTAATCAACTATTTGCGGAATATCTTGGAGATACTTATTTAACTAGGGAGAAGAAAAATCTAGAAGAAGTGGTGCATAGCATTTTAAATAAATTTGACGCCGAGTCATTCAATGATCAAACACACGAAAATGTTGGATTAGAAAGATCAGATACAACGAAATACACCAAAAAGGAATACGATCATACTACATTTGCAGCAGAAAGAAAAAGATTAGCCAAATTTACACAATATGTTAGAACCAAGATAAATGAAAGAACAGGTAACGAAAAAAATGTATCTAAATTAGAATTGGAAGAAGATGATTTAGCAGCTATTGATACAGTTGAAAAATTAATAAAAGCAGCAGCTGAATCTTTAAGTAGAGCACTTGAATTAAATCCAGATAGATCATCAGATCATTCTTTAGAAGTTTTAAATTTATTAGCTGCTAATTTTGCAAAACTTATTGTGCGTGAAGAACTTCAATTACAAAATCTTAATTTTTTTTGGAGTTTAACTTCAATTCATTTTAAAAAGGAAATTTTATTTTGTTTATCAACGTGTGCTAAAAAGATCATTTTTCCAAGTTTATCAAATGATCAAGTTGCTAAAAATAAAGCAAAATCAATGATTAATGAATTTGTTAAAATTCAAGAAAATAGTATAAATCAGTTAGTTGAAAAGTTAGTCAACTACTCATTACATCAATTACAAACATTACTTGGGAAACAAAAGAAAAAGGACTTTTTATGTGATACAATTGAAGAAGATACAGAAGCGTGTGAACTAATAAGTGAGTTTTTAAATGAAATGTATACAAATGTAAGCGTTGTATTAAGTGGTAAAAATTTAGAAAACACTTTGAATCTAATAGGTAATAAATTTTTACAATTACTTTTAGAACATTTCAAAAAATATCAAGTAAATTCAATAGGTGGTGTAGTATTAACAAAAGATGCAATTAGGTATCAAAATATAATAGATGAATGGGATATACCTGATTTATCTGAAAAATTTCAAATATTAAAAGAAATTGGTAATTTATTTACTGTTCAAGAAGAATTAATAAATTCTTTAATTACTGAAGGTCAACTATCTAAAATGAAACCTTATAATATAAGGCAATATTTGAATAAAAGGAAGCAATAATTTAAAATTTTTTAATAGATGATGAATATATTTATGATTTATAAATTTTCATATTTTAATTGATTTCAATTATCTCTTTAAATTTTTCATGAACGCTTTTTAACAAAAATTTAAGTTAGTCTTACACAAAATCAAAGAGTAAACAATCGTAAATATTATTTAAAACATGAAACATACATAACATCAACTTTAGATCATCAATACATCTTCTATTTTCAATTAGTCAACACCATCATTCCACATTTTATCAAAATCAACAATGATGCTACGGAAAGATAAAAATTCACCAAGAAAATTAAGATCAAGAGATGACAAACAACTAGAAGACAAGAACTTATTTAATTTTGATAATATAAATCATTATTTATATAGAGAAAAAGAAATACGAATCGATAATAATCCAGAAATTGATAAATTACCATTATATACCTATTATAAAGAAGAAAATAACGAAGAAATAAAACCAAAACTAATAGATCATGGAGACATCATCAAGATTAAAAGAAAAAAAATCATCATTGATCCTAATATCGAAGATCCTTTACCTGATTCCACTTACCAAATATTCCACCGTAAAATGAGAAAAGAAGAAGCACAAATGTTGAATGAAGAAAAAATCAAAAATTTAATGGAATTAGATAATTTTCAAAATTATCTTAAATTATTAAATCAATACGATTGGATAAGACATTTACCTTCAATAACTAAAATAAATGATTTAAAAAATTTAGAAGAAATGGAAATTAAAAAAAATTTAACTATTGATGAAATTGAAAAAATGTTGTATAAACAATCTATATGGAAGAAGAAAAAAGATGAATTTGCTAATAATGTTAGATTATATAATAATCAAGGTATACAATTTGAAATTATTGATGAAGAATATGATTTAAGTCAAGTACCTGATGATGAAGAAGATGAAGAAGATGAAGAATTGATGAATGAAGTAGCTGAAAATAATAACGGAGCTGAAAAATCAATTACTAAAAAAGTAGTTAAAAGAGTTAGAAAACCAAAAGCTAAAATAGAACCAAAAGTTGAAGAAGTAAAAGAAAAATTAGAAGATATTGATGGTACAATAAATATTGATATTTATGGATCATCAGATGATTTATTTGGTTCTGATTTCTTTGATGTAAAAGTTTCAGAAAAAGGATTTCAATTACCAATAAGTTGGAGAAGACAATACAATACATTTGGTACAATCTAATACAAAGTAATGCTAAATTGTTAATTATATATAACTAGTATCCTATTGATTGAAAATAGATTTATTAGCAGTTATAGCTGCTCTTTCTAAAGATTTAGGATCATCAACATTATCAAATATCCAACCAAAATGTAATTCAGGGGGTGCTTTTAAAATTTTTGGTGATTGCTCTAAATCTAATTCTAAATATCTTGCTGTGAATGCTTCAATATTTTCTAAACTTATATTATACATTGTAGTTAGATAATCATAAAATTCTAATAACAAATGTAATAATAACCCTTTGTAATGATCATCTGGTTTAACTCCGTTATCTTTTAAATCGCTAATGAATTCAGGTACAGTATATTGTAAAGTATTTTGTAATTGTTCTAATATAATGAAAATTTCTTCCAATGTTTTGAATTTAATTTTGTAGATTCTTTCAATTATGAAAACAATAAATAATAATTCATCTTTTGTAATTTGACTCTTATGTTTTATTGCAAATAATCTTGATATAGATGTAATAAATTTATTTCTTGAAGTTTTAGTTTTATTATTTTTAGCATAAAGTAACGATATGATATTATTTGCAATCAATTCATTTTCAAAAGCTAATTTTATACCAGCTATATGTTGAGTATCAACAAATGATTTATTTTTATCATAAAATTCCAGATATAATTCATGAGCTGATTGTTGAATCCTTAAAATTGCTGATCCATGTAATGCTATTATAATTTTGATCCCTTTCATTGGTATTATCAAACCTAATTTCAAAGATTTTCTAACAAATACAAATGCTAGTTCTGATAAATCTGTTGATGTAGCTTTTAAACTAAGTTCTGAAATTGTATTATAAAATCTATCAACTAATACACAACATGTATTATATCCAGAATCTTTATTTTTTTCAGGATTTTCATTTGAATTAAACTCAGTTGACTCGATTTTTTCACCATTATCATTTATAAACTCTGAAATTACCCTAATGATATTGAATTTTATTTCATCATCCAACCCAAGCCCATTTTCAATTATTCGTAGTATTGCATTATCAGTCATAAAAGTTGGATTATTTGAACATGCAAGTATAATATTTGTATAAGCATATTTTCTAAGCACCATTGGAAATTTATCAGAAGTGAATGCTATTATATATTTAACAAGAATTGACATAACTGTAGCGCAACTTTGAGGTACTATTCCTTCTTGAACAAATACGTGTCTAAATTTTTGAAGTTGAAAATATTTACCAAAACTTCCTAATATTTGTAGGTGTTTGAAAATCTTATCATAAGTCTTTTGATCATGAAATGTTCTTATATTTCTCATAGCTGAAATTACAGCAGATACACCTTTTAACTCAGTCGAACTTAATTTACCTAAATTCCATAAAGCTTGAGTAGCTAAAGAAATATCATGAGATTGGAAAAAAATGAGTTTATGATATAAGAAATTTTGAATATCCAATGATAACTCAGGACGTATGGCACTTAATTTTGAAGTTGATGATTTTAAAACCAAAAGTGCATTGGTATATGCCACAGTATTAATATAATTTGTATCCATATAAAAAGGTTTTAATGCGGATAATATATCTTGAGTTATAAGTTCTGGTTTTAGTTGAGTAATTATTGCTAGTGTAACAAATGCTCCATCAAGTTCTTCAATTTTATCGGAGCTTGCAATTAGATCAACTAGATCCGGAACCACTCTCTCTGGGATTTTTTCAAAATTATTTTCTAAAAATGGTTTCAACAAACTCTTACTGTCTTTTGCAACTCCTATCAAAAAATTGACTCCTTCTTTGTCTTTGAAAAAAATTTCCAATAATGCAGCAACAGCTTCATTTCTAACACCATCTTCTTCATCAGTTGTTCTTTCCAAAAATTTTAAACTTATTTTAACTTTTGCTAATGGTCCAACAAAATTAAAGTTTTCCATACAAGATTTTATTGCACTTTTTCTAACTGATAAACCAGGATCATCTAATGCAAGATATAATGGATTAATAACTTTTTCAGCATCATTTGGGTTCTTTTTAGCATACTTACCAAGGAAATCATTCATTGCCTCTCTAACTTTAATTGCTTGATCATGCATTCTATCGGTCAATTGTTTTAGAACCTCTGGAGTAGCCAACAATTCAGGAAAATCTTGTAAAAATATTTGTAGTCCCTTTATTGCTTTTGCCCTTATAATAGCTTTTGAATGACTTAATTTACGGATAATAAAACTATAAGATTTGGTAATTACTAGTTGAGAAAGTCTGCTAAAGATCATAGCTCTATAAGCTTCAATTGGTTCTTGAATTTTATTCTTTTTAAGCTCTTCTTCCATAATAATATTTGTAAGAATTTGAAGTCTCGTGTTTAAATATGTATATGCCACCTTAGTATCATCAAAACCTAAACAATTTCCTAAAATATTCTTTAATGCTTCTTCATTGAGGAACATATCCTTTTCATATTTTTGATTTAGAATTCTTTCACATATGTTAATCAAATGGTCTAATAATTGAAGTTCACCGGGAATTGATTCTTCTTTGTCCAGAGTTAGCATTAGTTTTTCAATTAGCGACCATAAAATGATATCTGCAACTGGCCATTCTGGGTATGGTAAAAGATTAAACAAATCATCAATTAACATTTCAAATCTGAGTTTATTTTCAGCTTGTTGTTCAGGTAATTTTTTAATAATTTCAGCACTTATTAATTCAGTTATATTTGTTGGATCGGGATCTAAACATGCAAAGTTATTTAAAATCATGGTAAACAATTGAATATTAAATCCTCTTTCGGTCTTGAATTTTCTTGCATGTTGACGTTTATATTCAAGTGAGGTAAAATCAACTAAAACATTCAGCACTAAATTTAGTCTTTGATCTTTATGATTTTTAAAGATATTTATTAAACAAGTTGCTGCATTTTGTTGAAGTATAGTTATTGGTAATTTTTCTAAGAACGCTTCAGATTCATTGAATTTCCCACTTAATGATATTGTTATACATAAAGCTTCTAATTTTGCTATACTTTCATCTTCAAAAGCAGTTTTTAATGAATCCAATTGTTTAAATCTATTACTTGATTCAATGACTAATTTTGTAATTGATTTTTCAGCAAATAAATCAGTAATTTCTTGAAATAATTTTTCTAATGGAACCAAAAAATTCTCATACATTAATTCTAAAGTTTTAACAATTATCAGAGTATATTTTCCAAATGACATTTTAATTTGTTTTCCAATTTGATATTTAATAATTATCATAAGTGCTTTAGAAGCAAAAGTTCCAATTAAAAAATCAGGTAATAAAGTATTAACATCATCAACAATTTTTAATGTTTGTTTTTTTTCAACAATTATACTTAAATTTTGATATAAAATTTCTTCAATTATAATTAAATCTGCTCTATCTTCATCTTGTAAAGTCTCTATTTTATTTAATGATTCACATAATCCTGCAGTTCTTTCCCATGTTAATTTATGACTATTTTGAATAAATTGTTTTAAATCTGAAACTCCAATAGTTGCTAATTTATCATCAGGATTTGGAGCCAGAGCATTAAATGAAGTCGACGGTAGATTTTGTTGAATTTCAATTGTTGCTTGTTGTTTTAATAATGCATCTCTATCAATTAAAGTTGAACTTTCTTTTTCAAATTTTGTAAAATATTTATAATTATGTTTTTTTAAATAAATATCATCATCAATTGGTATTTGACCTCTTACTGATATTCTTGAAGTTTGAATTTGTTCATCATCATCAGTATCAATAATTTTTTTTTTATTTATATTAATATTATTTAAAATTTCTAATTCAAAATTTGAATATTCTGGTGGTTGAAAATTATCATCTTTTATTGTTGGATAACTTTTAAATTTTATATTATCTAATTCATCATCTTCAAATTCTAATAATTCTTTTTGACATTCCAATTCAAACTGTTTTGATTCTAAAGTATTAAATTCATTTATATGAGTTGGTCTTAAAAAAGATGATTCATCAGTTATTGGAATAAACAGTGATAAATTAATTAATGGACTTAAATTTTGTTTTGGTATTAAATGTAATAATGGAGTTGTTGCTAAAACTTGTTTTAAAGAAGTGGGGTTTTGTGATGATGATGTAGACATTTATACATTTGGAATATAATTATAAGTTGTAGATAATATAGTTTATTATGAATTATTTTGAAATGAATTGATTGTTATTAAAATTTGGTTGTAAAAATTGAGATTTGTTTCATAATAATAAGAAATTAATTTTGATCATAAGTACAATTTATTAAAACTTAAAATTTAATTTTTGATTCCGTAAATTTCTTTATTGTCGTAACATACGTATAAAAGTCATTGAAGTTACAAGCTATTATTTAATTATAAATTTGTTTCGATATCTGAACAAGAGAAGTAGTAGAAAACATTAACTCAACTACAGAAAAGGTCATAAAATAGATTTAAATTCCATAAATTTATTACCTGGAAACTCATTGAAAGTAATATTTTTTTTTCCAAATTTTCAAATACTTTTACAGTTTTTGTTACTTACATTGCATAAAAATTTGCAACAATCCTAAACAAAATTTTGTAACATTTTAACAAAACGAAATCTTTTATATTGTCTATTAATTTAATAAATTTATTTAAACATTTATAGACATGATTCCAAATTAACATTACGGTCAGTCAATTACTTACAATATATAATAAGATACTTATTGATTGATTATACCAGCTTTAATAGGGAGACGGATTTAATTGATAAAACTCCATTTCCAAATGGAGATTATAATTTCTTATATATTACTTATATATTAGATAAGAAATTATTAGTGATAAAATTTGGTAGCGTAAATCTTATCAATTTAAAAATAGAGTAACACTAAAAACGGAATTCTTTATTTTGTGTGTGGTTACAATTTTATTTTAATAGCAATTGAATTTTGAAAGTTGAGGAATTATAAAATTAAATTAATTTGTCTTTAATTATTTTAGCTTGGATCAAATTATTTTAGAAATAGATCAATTCAAGTTCAGATTCATTTGTATATCAAATTAATTAGATCAAATATAAACAAATTTTTAAAAATGTCAGACGGTTATATTGTTACATTAAAAGATTCATGTTCAGATTCAACTGCTAATGAAATTAAACAAAAAATTGAAAGTGCTGGTGGTAAAATTAAAGATGAATTTTCATTAATTAAAGGTTTTTCAGTTTCATTACCATCTGATCATATTTCTACTTTAGAAAGTCATCCAGAAGTTGCAAATGTTGAAAAAGATGGAGAAGTTAAAACTCAATAAATTAAGTACAAATGAGAAGGGGATTAATCAATTTTAAATAAATCTTTTATTAATGAATAACACAGTACAATGTTTTTATAGAAATTCATATATTTATGTTACGAATAAACAATATTGACTTTCATCAATTTGTATAAGCTCGTTCAAAAACATTGATCTCTTATGACAACCTTCTTTATTTTAAAAATCAATAAATTGCCACTCCAATCAAAATCTAGTGGTTATGATTTAATATTGAAAACAATAGAATAGAATTGAATTTTTATTCGAAATTCATTTGATTAAGATTTAGGTCGAAATTTTGTGTAATTCCCCCTAATTTATTTAATGTTCCGTGATAACTATTATTAAATTAAATTATTTTTATTAACCCTTAATTTTTTATTTTTATTCAAATTTACAACCAGCTTTCATTACCAACAACAATCAATTATTTTATCATCAAATATATATATATATATACAAGTATTAAGAGATAGTTTATATCATTTATTAGACAGTATCATATTACTTAGCTTAGATTCATTTTAAAAATTTACCTTAAAAAGGTTAAAAATATAAAGTATATAAATCATAACCCCACAAAAATTATTAGAACTAAGTAAATATGGGATACGATAATTATAATCTTCAACCAAATTTTAAACCAATTGATCATTTATATGATGATAGATTAAGACAATTTACTAATACTGGAGGTCAATATTCAAATTTAAATTTACCAAAATTTTATGATATTAAAAGAAAAGAAATTGGTAATTTAAAATCTTGGAAAGTACCAGATGATAAAAATAGTAAAACTCAAAGACCTTTATTTCGTAATATTAAATTTGATGATATTAATTGGGAAAATATTAATTTAGGTTATAATTTTGGACCAAGTTGGAAAACTTTTTGGGTTAAATTTAATTTAGATATACCAGAAGATTGGTTAAAATATGAAGGATTAGAAATTGAATGGGATTCAAATTCTGAAGCTTTGATTTATAATTCAAAAGGTTTACCATTACAAGCATTTACTGGTGGTGGTGATCGTAATTTATTTGACATACCAAAAGAATATAGAAAATCTGGTGAACAAATTTTTTATATTGAAGTTGCTTGTAATGGAATGTTTGGTAATGGAGCAGAAGGTGAACCAGATCCAAATAGATTTTTCAAATTAAATAAAGCTCATTTAGTTGTACCAAATTTAGAAGCAAGAAGATTATTTTGGGATTTTTGGATTTTAAGTGATGCATCAAGAGAATTTCCTGGTGGTTATTGGCAAAAACATCAAGCTGCTGATTTATGTACAAAAATTATGAATACTTTTAATCCAGATGATATTAATTCAATAAAAGAATGTAGAAAATTAGCAACAAAAATATTAAGTGATAAAATCAATTCAGATGAAGTATTTGATGTTAATCCAAATCCAAATAAAAGAGTTGATGTTTTTGGGGTAGGTAATTGTCATATTGATACAGCATGGGAATGGCCATTTGCAGAAACCAAGAGAAAAATTGTTAGATCATGGACAACTCAATTAAAGATTGCTGATAAATATCCAGAATATGTATTTGTTGCTTCACAAATGCAACAATTTAAATGGTTAAAACAATCATATCCAGAAATTTTAGAAAAAATTAAAGAGAAATTTACAACTAATCAATTTATACCTTTGGGAGGTTCATGGGTTGAAAATGATACTAATTTACCAAATGGTGAATCATTAATTAGACAATTTGTATTAGGTCAAAGATATTTACAAGATGAATTTGGATTTAAATCAAATATTTATTGGTTACCTGATACTTTTGGTTATAGTTCACAAATTCCTCAAATTTGTCAATTATCTGGTATTGATAGGTTTTTAACTCAAAAATTATCATGGAATAATATTAATAATTTTCCTTTGTCAACTTTTAATTGGAAAGGTATTGATGGATCTCAAGTATTGGTTCATATGCCACCAGCAAATACTTATACAGCAGCTGCACATTTTGGTGACGTTTTAAGATCATCACGTCAACATAAAAATTTAAGAGATGTACCAACAGGATTATTATTATATGGACATGGTGATGGTGGTGGTGGACCAACTGAAGAAATGATCGAAAAATTAAGAAGATGTAGAGGTATAAGTAACGAAGTTGGATTAATGCCATCAGTTGAATTAGGAGTTAATATAGATGATTTTTATGATCATTTATTAGAAAATTCAAATCAAGGATCAACTTTACCAACATGGACAGGAGAAATTTATCTTGAATTTCATCGTGGTACTTATACTGTTCAAGCACAAATTAAAAAATTTATGAGATTAGGAGAAATTAAATTACATGATTTAGAATTAATTGCTGGTTTAGTAAGTTTGAAAAATAAAGATTATAAATATCCAGGTAAAGAAATTCAAGACTTGTGGGAAGATCTTTGTTTATGTCAATTTCATGATGTTTTACCAGGTAGTTGTATTGGTATGGTTTATTATGAAGAAGTTTATCCAATGTTGAGTGCATTATTGAAAAAGGCTGATAAATTAATTTTCAAAGCTCTTGAAGTTGCTGGTAAAAATAAAAAGGCATCAGTTGTTAATACATTGGCTTGGGATAGAAATAATGAGATTTTGAATATTCAAAAGGATGAATCACCAGAATTATTCCAATCTTTGAAAAAAGATGGTCATTCAGAACATGTACAAGATGAAATTAAAGTTTCAGTTGATCATGTTAGTGGAGAAACTAAATTCAATAAAAAAGTGAAATATCCAGCAACTGTTAAACAAGACAGTGATGGTTTCATCTTGTCAAATGAATTATTAGTTGCTAAAATCTCGCCATCTGGTATAATTACATCACTATATGATACAGTAGCAGATAGAGAAATTATAGATACAACTTCAACATCACAAACAAAACAATCAAATAAATATGTTGGAGGTAATCAATTACTTTTATTTGATGATGAACCATTAAATTTCCCAGCTTGGGATACCGAAATTTATTCATTGGAGAAGTTTAAATTATTAGATAAAGGAAAATCTAAAATATTATCTGATAATCCTTTAGAAGTTTCAATTCAAGTAACTCATGATATATCTCCAAATTCATCAATTGAAACTATAATTTCATTACCTGGTGTTAATTCAAATAATAATAATTTAATAAAATTCTCATCAACTGTTAATTGGCATGAAAATTATAAATTTTTAAAAGTTCAATTCCCAACTACAATAAATTCAGCATTAGAAGCAAATTATGAAACTCAATTTGGTATCACAAAAAGACCAACTCATTATAATACTACATGGGATGTTGCAAAATTTGAAGTTTGTCATCATAAATTTATGGATTTAAGTGAATATAACTACGGTGTTTCTATATTAAATAATGGTAAATATGGTGGATCAATTCATGGTAATTTAATTAGATTATCTTTGTTGAGAAGTGCAAAAGCTCCTGATAATAAAGCTGATATGGGTATTCAAAAATTTGAGTATGCTATATATTCTCATTCTGGTCCTTTAGGTGTTGATACTGTAAAAGCAGGTTGGAATTTTAATTATAAATTAATTCCAAAAGCTAGTGATACTTCATTTTTAAATGCTATTAAATTAGAAACTAATTCTTCATTAATTTTATCACATATCAAAAGAGGTGAAAATGATATTGATGTAAGTCAATATAAGACATTAACCAAGAAGGAAAAATCAATAGTTGTTAGAATTTATGAATCATTAGGTGGTTCAAGCAAAGGTAAATTAATAATTGATGAAAAATATTTCAAAGTTGATAAAATTTACAAGACTTGTGCTTTAGAAAGTAAAATTTTTGAAGAATTAAAATTGGATAAAGATGGTGCTGTTGATATTAAATTGAAAAGTTTTGAAATTGGAACTTATAAATTGATCTTGAAAGATTAACATAATAAATTTCTTTTATAGATAGTTTGTCTTTCTTTTGATTTGAGAAAATAGAAAAAATTAGTAAAAAATTGCGTTTTAAATTTTGAGTATTGGTATGAGTATTACACAAAATCATCGTTTCTCTTCTCTTTGAAAATATATTTTACGAAATACAAGAGATGCTTTAATTCACCAAGTTATTCACCTCAAATAATGTCAATCAATATTATTCTCGAGGACATTAAAGATTCACCATCATCAATAATTCCCATATTACAAACATTACACAATGACAAAACTTTACTAAATCAAATATCAAAACCAAATTTAAATCATTTAGTATCAAGAACATTACAATTATGTAGATCACCAATTATATACAATAAATGGTGTGGTATAAATTTAATAAAAATTATAAGTTCAAATTACGTGATTTTAGCAAACGAAGGATTAAATTTCATTACTATTTTAATTACCATTTTAGAATCATATAATTCTACAATTGATGTAATAATTTTAAAAAATTGTATTGAATGTTTAAATAAATTAATTAAATTAATTAGAGATAAACCAACATTAACTAGAGAAATACTTACACCAAAATTAAATCAAATTATTCAAATATATTTAAAAAATTTACATTTCCAACCTAATTTAATTATAAATTCGTTATATAATATAATCAAAAATCATCCAAATACATTCAGACCATTTGCGAATAAATTTAATGAAAAATTAAAACAATTATTAAATTCAGGATTTGGAGAGTATCCTTCAGATTTACAAAATTCAATATGCAAGACATTAGCCATATTACCAATTATTGAAAGAAATGAACCAGAAACTAAATGGTTAGATGATGTTAAACATATTATAATGGAGGTGAATGATATTTTAGAAGTTTATGAGGAATTTTTCAATTTTGATTCAGATTTAAAAAAATTGATACTGAAATTACCTAAAAGCACTAATGACAGTAAGATATTTGAAGATTTAAATATTGATTTAAATAAACCATCAACTATTTTAACAATAAGTTCAAGAATTGAAATCTTATTGAAATTATTAAGTCACTACTTAACTGAATCAATACCAAGTGTTAAAGTTCCCCTCGGTATGGTTTTAGTATTAACTGAAATTATCTTTTCCATAAATTCAAGATACTTATCTTTTAAAAACGATGTTAGAGATGAAGAAATTAAACAAATCATAAAGTTAACATTATCCCATAACTACCAAAACGCTATAAAATTATTGAACAAATTGCTAGTATTCAAAGGATCATTGGTATTACATTTACCTTCTATAATGTCAAACTTGGAGTTGATTATACCTCTCAAAAAGAAAAAGATTTCAAAACAAGATATATTGGAAAATGAACAATTATATTTAGATTTATTAAATTGTGCAAGTAATTATTTACAATTTGTAGGTACATCATCAGACAATTCATTGATAACTCCGTTAGTTGACGTTGCTTTAATATTAACAGAACCAAGATCAATACCAAATGATACTCCAACTTCAACCACCACCACAAACAAGAAAAAGAAGAAGAACATTTCATCAGCTCCATTATCCGACATTTTATCTCATGAACATTTATTCAATAACAAATGCTCAGAATCTTCTTTGGCTGTAATTAGAAATTTTTTCAATCAAGTTATACAAAAATTCGAATTATCACCAACTCAACATTACAAAATTTTGAAGTTTATACTTCAACAATGTATTGAAAAATCAAACTCTAATTTAGAAAAATCTATACCCGAATCATTACAACACTTATTAATCAACGCAGTCTTAAATCCAGGTTATGATAAAAATAATATTTTACCAATAGTTTCATCGATTTTATCAACTAATCAATTAATGACAGTTTTCAATAATCCAAGATTACCACCATTACCCAAATACATCACATCATCAATACCTGAAGATTTTGAAGAAGAAGAACAAGAAATTGAAGAATTACCTAAATTATCAGCTAAAGAAAATGCTATAAAACAATTATTAGAAGAACAAGCTCAACAAGAAAAAATTCAACAAGTAGTTGAAGATACAAATAAAAGATCTTTAATTGAAGTTGAAGAAGTTGAAGAGGACGCTAATGAGAAAAGAAGAAAATTATTCGATGCTAATTTTAAACCACAACAAGTTGAAACTGAGGAAATTGTCGTAGATCAAAAAATTGAAGAAATCATCGTAGATAAAAAGATTGAAGAGCCAGTTTTAGGTCAAGTAGTTGGTACTGTCAACACTGAAGTTGTTGAAAAAGATGTGGAAGAAGATCCAGAACTTGAGGGCTCAGATTTCGAAATGCCTGAATTAAATCTTGAAGCTGATACTGAAGACGAAGACGAAGAAGAAGAGGATTAAAATTGGTGTAAAATTTGTATAGATTATTTATCGAGTCCATCAATAAAATTGTAAACAAAAATTGAAATTGTGTTGCAAAAAAATTATGTAAATAAATCAGTTTCTCAAACATACAGAACAATTAATGAAACATCTCCTACTATAAATGACCAAAAATGATAAGAACTTCTGTTTGTTCAAAGACTTATCACCACTACAATTGATACTTTTAATCATAATTAAATTGTATTCGACAACATCATTACGACCAGAAATTTTAATACAATTAACAAAATTAATTGAAAACAAACAATCAATTACCGAGACAAATGAATTAAGAATAATAACTAACTTGAAAGAACTATGTGATTATTTCAATAATGAATATTTCACGTCACTACTAATTGATAAAGTTTGGGAGATTAATTCAATGGAGGATTTAGATAATTTAGTTAAATCAATCAGTGAATTAGTTATAATGAAACCATCATCAATTTCATCTACTCCAACATCTAAAAAATTTTTAAATAATTCATTATATGGAATATTCATAACTCAAGTCTGTACATACTTTGAAATACTAGAGTATCATGCAAGTCTTTGTTTGTATCAACTGTTTATTGAATTTAGAAAATCTACAAGAGATATAATTGATATTGAATCAAATGATACAAATCTAGAAGATGTATTAAATAATCAACTACAGAAAATGGGATTGAAAGATCAGGAATATACATCAAGGTCCAAAAATGATTTAGAAGATTTAATTAATAAGCAAATTTCAATTTTGGAACAATTTGGTACACCTACTCCAACATATATCAAAGAAACAATGAAATTAATGACATCCCCAGCAATAGTTGGATCAACCCAAAGCATGTCCTTCAACAACATCCCTAGTTATTCATACCTACGATACTTGGAAAACTTATCAGAGTCAAACTATAACGAATCAATTGACTCGCTACATCAATATTTCGATTATATGGTAAGTAATAATTCCAAATATTTTTATCATTTTGCATTAATTTCCAAGGCGTCATTACATCAATATTTTGGTGAAGATCAAAAAGCAATTAGTACTATTGAAGAAGCTATTAGTATTGCCAGGGAAAATAAAGATAATTCTACTTTAACTTATATTTTGAGCTGGTTTTATAATTTCATGCATAATAAACCTCATTTATGGAAACAACAAACTTTATTTAACAAAAGTAATGAAGATCAATTATTGGACTTTTTAATTAAAAAATCATCAACTATTAATACCCTGTTATATGCGATAAATTTGGGATTTGAAACATTACAAATGATGAATAATGGTCAACTGATTAGTTTATATACTGGGAACATGACAAAAACTTTATTTACGGCTGTTAATGATGTAAAACCTACATTTATACGATGTGCTGAAATGGCATCGATTGTATGGGATAGAGTTGGGGTAACAGTATTAAGTGATGTTTATAATGAATTAGCTATTGAATATTCCGAAAAATCATCTGACTCAATAAGATTGAAAGCAAAAAAATTATATCAGCAATTTTTAAGAGGTGATACAACCATCAATCTTGATAGCTTAATACTCAATGTATCTGATCATTCATTATACAATGCCATTCAAGTAAGAAGATTGATACTACAGATCCATCAATACCTCAATAGTAATCAAACAAGAAAAGCAAAAGAGATAATGGAATTCCTACTAGATAGCGAAATCAAGGATTTAGATTTAAAAAATGATATTTTGTTTCTTGATATAGAAATTGAAATGAGTATTGGGAATTATTCAAAAGCATTAGACAAAATAGTTTTATTTAAGAATTCAAATAATTATTTAACTATAAAATTAAGTATTTTAAAATGTCAAATTTTCAATAAATCAGGTAATACACATCGTTGTTTATCATTATTAATTCAATCTATTCAATTAAGTAAAAAATATGGATATAAATCATTGGAAATTGAAGCAACTTTATTATTCTTTGATACTTTGGAAAAATCAAATATGACTGATGAAATTAATAGATTAACAGATGATATCATACCAAATATTTATAGTTATGGTAATCAACACTACATCAAACAAGCATCAGAGATTCTAAATAAAAGTTTACATAATCAAAAATAATAAATCTAATAAGTAATAATGAATAATAATTTAAAATTTATAAACCTATGTATAAAACCCCCCCACTAATCCTTTTTAAATTCTTCAACAACAATTAATTTCTTATTATGTTCTTCAACATCCATTCTAGCTAAAATTAAAGAAGCACTTTTCAATTGAATTACATTAGCAATTTGTTTAAATAACCAAATTGGAGCACTTAAAACACCCATAATTAAACCAACCCAAATGAAATTATAATAATATAAATAAATTGCAATATAAAATAATTCATTTAATGCACAAACAACAAATAATACTTTTTTATTTGTATAATATAAACTTAATAATTTAGATTGTGATTGATCAACATTTTTATGTGAAGTTGAACCAACTGATAACATAGCATACATATGAATATAATGAGATGCTAAATCTAAACTAATTAATAATTGCCATATTACAGTAAATGTAGGATATATAACTGCCAAATAAACAATTAAACTTGAAGTAGCACATCTATCAGTTACCATATCTAATACTGCACCAAATTTTGTACCTTGATTAAATTTTCTTGCTGCATAACCATCAAATGCATCTAATATACTTGAAATACCATAAAATATTATAGTTAAAATTGGATGATTTGACATACATAAGAATGATATTATAGCTGTAATAATACGTAAATAACCAATTAAATTTGGAATATATAGAAAAATTGTTTGAATTGTAATATTTTTTCCATGTTTGGATGATTCGGATTTATATTTTGTTGATTCCATAATGTATTAAATATGAATTCGTAATTTCTATATTCTTATATTTGAAGTTAAAATTGTAGTCGATAACAATTTATATATTGTGGGTTGTAGTATGCTGAGAAGTATTGGTAAAAATATTTGAAAATTTGAAAATTAACAGCTAATCTAATTGAACGTTTGATCTGATAAAATTTCAATGGAAAATTTGTAAAAAAAAATGATTATAAAGTCTATAAAAAAAGGGTGAATACGAATGACAATAAATGATGATGTAGTTGAAATATGATAATAATAATTCAATTAATCTATAATGAATAATAAATTGGTTGTTTAGTTGAGGGTTGTAAATCTGGGGTTTAAAGAATTGATAAAAGTTGTTAATTAAATTGCAATTATAATTAAAATTAAATTTCCAGTTAGGCAAAAAAAAAATTTATTTCTAAACTTTTTCACAAGAGTTGAAAATTATCTTCTAGAAAGTTAACAATAATCAATTGTTGATATCTATTATCAATCCACTTCTCACAATTCATATTTTTACTTTATGACAGACTTTTTAAACTATAAAGTAAAATTGACATTAAAAGATAGTTCAACATTAATTGGTATTATATCATATGTTGATGAAAAACAAATTAGTTTAAATAATGCAATAAATTTAAATGATCCAAAATTAATTCATAATTTAATTAAAATACCAAACATACAAATAACTGATTTAAAAGTTATTGAATTACCACAAACATCCAATAATAATAGCAACAAAAGAAATAAAAAACAACAAACAAGAACTGAAGAATTAATCGATGAATCAACAAATAATAGTTCAAAACCATCAAGATCAACTACTCCAAAACCAAATAATAATGGTAAAAATAAAATTTGGGAATCAAGATCAGATATAGAAGATGTTAAAAATAAAGAATTTGATTTTCAAGCAAATTTAGCAATGTTTGATAAAAAATCAGTATTTGAAGATTTTAAAAAGAAAGATAATATTCAAATAAATGATAGATTAGTTGGACATAACAAGATTGAAAATATTAAAAAGAAAGAAAAATATGATGTTGATGAGATGGTATTAAATTCAAGTCATTCAAAAGATAATTGGGATCAAATTGGTAAATCATTAGATAGATCAAGAACTGAAACTCCAAAATCTGATTCACATAGAAATCAATCATCAGTAGCAACTACAGAAATAAGAAAAAATTTCAAATTAATAAATTCATTAGATTCAACTCAACTACAATCAGCATCTCCTGTACAATTATTGGAAATTGAAAGATTTTCATCAGATATGTTTGGTGTTTCACCGACTATAATGACAGAAGTATGTGCAACAAATTTAAGTAAATTAATAATAGACAATTGCTTGGGTGGATCAAGAAGACTAAGTAACAAACAAAACCATAATTTACCACCATTAGTTTTATTATTAATAGGTAGTGCAAGATGTGGTACAAGAGCATTTGCAACAGGTCGTCATTTAAGTAATCATGGAGTAAGAGTATTAGCATTTGTAATATCATCAGATGAATCAGATACTGAATTATTACAACAATGGAAAGCTTTTGAATCAATTGGGGGTAAAGTTATAACAAATGATTTTAATGAATTAGATGATATAATACGGAATCAATTGAATACTCCAGTTGAATTAATAATAGATGCATTACAAGGTTATGATGATCATTTAGAAGATATATTTTATAAATCAGAAGATCAAAAGACATTAAGTCAATTAATTGATTGGTGTAATAAACCTCAACAACAACCAAAAATAATGTCATTAGATATACCTTCAGGAATTGATGGAGGTTCAGGATTACCAGAAAATAAACTAGTTATAAATAGTCATTGGTGTATATCTATGGGATTACCATTAAGTGGATTGATATTAGCATACAAGAATGGTTATATGGAAGAAGAAATTGTACATTATTTAATTGATATTGGTATTCCAAATAAAGTATTTCAATCAAAACCGAATTTAAGGAAATTCGATAAATATTGGTTTACAGCTGAATCAATTATAAAGATGGAGATTGAAAATGTATAATTTAAAACAACATATAGAACTTTAATGAAATGATAAATGAACTTACTTAGTTTGAGAAGAAATTGTAAATGATAGAACTCTCTTCGGTATAGAATTGATAGTTTAGTCGCTACCAAATTTTTGGTTATGAAAAAATTATAATAGCAGAGAAAGTTTATATTAAAATTGAATTGTTTATTTTTACAACCAACAAAGCAAAGCAAAAAATTTAATGGTTGGGGAAGATAAATATAACAATTGGGGTGCATCATCTGCATTTAGTGCTAGGAAAGAATTCTCAGAACCCCCAAAGAAAGAATTTAATTTGTTTGGTAATTCTTCAGATCATAGAAAGAAACAGAATTCACATTTAAATAATAATAATAACAATAATACTAGTGATTTGTTCTCAAATCAATATACAACTAATATACCGCCACTAGAAACAAGAACAAGTACGCCAAATTTTGATTTATTTTCATCAACCCATACTGGATCGTTAAATTCATTTAAATCAAATGGAGCTTTTAATTTACCTTTCAATACATCAAGTCATTCATCAAAATTATTTAATAACAAACCACCTTCAACTAAGTTAGTAATTGATGACGATGACAAAACCAATCTTTTAGGAAAAACCCATAAAGAATCTAAAATTTCACCATTTGATATACCCAATCCCATCATTAATAAACAAAAATCACCACCAAAACCATCAAAACCTACTTCAAAAATTGGTCAATTATTCAATTTCTTCAGAAAAGATGTAAACAAAGCCAAAAATAAAATAGAATCAGCATTTTCATACACTACCCCCAAAACATTATCAAATCCATCATATAAAGCAATAGATGCAAGAAGAATAGGGAGTATGAGAAGATTAATACTCAAGACAAAACCTATAAAATATCACTTAATTGATGTCAACAAAGTTTTAAATGCAAGACAAAAAATGGTTGTAGCGTCAGCTATATCTGCAACTAAATTAATTACTCAAGATTCAAGTGATGATGAAATGGATGAAATTGAAGAAGTTGAATATAAACCTTTTGCTAAAAGTGCTAAATTTGAACAAAAAGAAGACGAAGAAGAAGAACAAATACAGAAAGAGACTAAACCTAAGAAAAGTGAATTGTATAAAGGTTACTGGTCAACACCAGAAATCGATGTATTATCGGAATTAGAAGATGAACAATTAAGGAGTATAAATAATTTTATAATTGGAAGAGTTGGTCATGGACAAATTGCATATGATTATCCTATTGATTTAACAAGGGTCAAAGAGAATTCAGAATTAAATGGTACCTCAATTATGGAAGAACTTTTTGACAATACAATAAGTATAAACAATCCTACAATATTAGCATATAAAGATGATAACAATAAACCTGCATTAGGATTTGAATTAAATGTTCCAGCTACAATTACATTAGAAAATATCAAACCAGCAGAAGGCAAATCAATCGATGATCACATTAATTATTTGAAACGTCAAATTGGTATGGAATTTGTTAAATTTGATCCCTTAACTTCAGATTGGACTTTTAAAGTAAAACATTTTAGTGTTTGGGGATTAGTTGATGAAAAACAACAGGATTTACTAAACCTAAAGAGGAAACAAGATGCCAATGAAACTGATGCATTAATTGAATATTCAAAAGTTTATGAAAATGAAGATTTAGATCAAGAATTGAAAAAACAAAGATTAAATGAAGATTCAAAGATAGTTCCTGGTGGTTGGGGATTACTACACCCACAGAGAGATGATTTATTGACTTTAAAACGTTCTTTGGTATCTAATGAAATCAGTGGTATTATAAGTCAACATAAAGAAAATGATTTAACTGGTCAAGTAAATGGTATAACAATTGATTCTGATGTGGAAGATGATGAAGAAGATTTTGATATTGCCGATGTTGATGAAGTCAAAATTAATGCTTATGAACCAATAATAACTGATGAAACTGCATTTGATGTTATACGAAATAAATCATCCTTCCCAACTACAAATAATTGGTTATTACAATTAGAATTAGCAAATCAATATAACTCAGCAATGGCTCCAATGGCAGCATCACAATCCAGAATTGAAAATTTAACTATAGACAAAGTGGATGAGATCCTTTTTCCTAATTTCAACAAAAATCAAAATAAAAGTGAGGTAGCGATTGAAGTGGATAACAAAATTACATCATTTGAACTTTCAAAAGATCACGACATAACATCAACATTTAAGACTATGCTTGACACTGCTAATATTACTAAAAGAAAAAATCAAATACCGAAAATAACTCAACCAAAAGGTTTCAAGTTTTCAGACGTAACGAACTACTTCCCTCAAAATTCAGCGATTACATTAGCTGAAATATTATTTGATTCACCAGACCAAGTCTCAATATCAAAATTTGGCAAATGGCTTCAAAATTACAACAAAAGTACAGTTGATCAATTATTAAAAGAAAATGAAGATGATTTATTACAATGTGCATTCATTTGTTTATGCGCTAATGATATCATGAAAGCAATTGATTATGCATTAAAATCCAAAAGTCAACATTTATCAGTCATACTTTCATTAGCCAATCTTCAAGATGAATTTGTACAACTACCTGCACAAGATCAATTACAAACATGGGAAGAATCGAGAAGTATTGAATATATTCCAAAACCTATAATAAAAATTTATCAACTTTTGGCGAATCAATTGGAAAAATTAACGGATAATTTACCTTGGAATATTACATTAGGTTTAAATATATTTTTCGGGAAAAGCAAGGATTCATTAAAGTCATTAATATCGAAATTTGAAAATATTTTTCCAGAAAATGATGATGTATCCGATATTCTTAGATTTTACGCAGCAGGATTTGATCACGATAAACTTGCTAATTCAAGTTTAAGCAATTTATCAAAATGGATTTTTGCAGTTGTATTAGCTAACTTTAGTTTTGATGATATTTCAGAGAAATTAGGTTCGGAATTAGAATCAACTGGGTATTGGAAAGAAACAATCATAGTATACTCCTCAATATTAGACGATACAAAAGCAGAAGAATTAATAAGAAAAGTAGTTATCAACAAAATCAAGCAAATTAAAACTTTATCATCATCAGAAGAATCATATTTATTAAATACCTTACAAATTCCAGAATCATTAATATATGAAGCAATTGCATTAGAAAGACAACAATCTGGTGATTATTGGGGAGAAATCAATGCTTTAATAAAAGTAGGATTTTGGGAAAAAGCTCATGATACAATAGTCAAAGAATTAGGACCATCTATAACTATAACTAATTCAAGTATTGATATTTTAAAGTTATTAAATATTTTGACGAAATTCCCACAAAATGGATTAATTATACCTACTTGGAATAAAGGTGCTGGTATATATCAAAATTATTTTAAATTACAAGAAAATGAGAACGATGTTGAGATTATAAATTTTTTAATTGATAACTTAATGTTAACTACTTTCAACAATTCAGTAGATCAAAAATTTGCCTTAAATATAATTTCAAAATATGTTGGTGAATTAGCATTAGAAAATAGCAAAATCAGTTCGAGTCAAAGAAATAAGATTCTTGAATTGCCATTAGATAAAGTGAACAGGTCATTTTTCAAACAGTTACTTACCAATTTAGATTAAATAGATAGTTCATAAACATCATTTCATTGTATTATATCTTCATTACATAGTCTATAAATTTACCCTATTTTATCCTTAATTTCGCAATCCTCTATTTCAAATTTAACCCATTCATATTTAATTCAACTTGATCTCTTAATCCATCAACTACATCCAATATAGCAGTAGCAGCAGGAGAATCAGGATTTGAATCAAAAAATGATTCACCATTATCACACGCTTTACCAATCCTTGGATCTAATGGTACTGAACCTAAGAATTTTATACCCAATTCTTTACATAATTGTTCACCACCTCCTGTTGTAGCTTTGAAAATTTGACTTTCTCCATGACAATTTGGACATACAAATCCACTCATATTTTCAACTAATCCCAAAATTTTTATTTTAGCTTTTTTACAAAAATCAATTTCTTTTCTTACATCTAACAAAGCAACTTCTTGTGGAGTTGTTACTATTAATGCACCATCAATTCCAACTTCTTTCATTAATGATGTAACAGATAAATGTTCATCACTTGTTCCTGGAGGAGTATCAACTAGTAAATAATCTAATCTATCACCCCAATCCACATCTTTTAAAAATTGTTTTATTAATCCATTCTTCTTACCACCTCTCCATATTATAGCCAGATCAGTATCTGGTAACATAAAAGATATACTCATTAATCCTAGATTATCAGCAACATAAACTGGACTCCACCCACTGTTAGATTGATGAATATTTTCATTCTCCCCAGCTCCTAACATTCTTGGTAATGATGGTCCACATATATCTAAATCCATTGCTCCTACTTCTAAATCTTCATCTGCTGCAATGGCCCATGCTAACATCGATGTAAATGTTGATTTTCCAACTCCTCCTTTTCCCGATAGTATTAGTATTTTATGTTGTATATTTGATAATCTTTTATATATTAATGGTAAATCAGGATCTGGACCTTTTGGTAATTGAGATGAACAAATTTCTTGATTTGCACAACCTTTACATGCATCATCTTTTCCTGCTAAATCTGATTTAGGACCTGGGCAGTGTTCTGGCTCTGGTGCATTCAATGATGTATCCACTGGGTCTGTTTCTGGAAACTTCTGACTAGGTGACATCTATTTTTGAAAAGTTATTGTATTCTAATGTGATTAAACAATGTAAAACTTGATAAGTAATTTGAAATGAGTTTTGAATCTCTTAGTAATCATAAAAAGATATTAAAAAAAATCAGATCTAAAATTTTGGTAGCGATAAAGTTATCAAATTTAATTTTAATTTACGATAAGAATTAATATATAGACATAAATGATCTTCTTATCAACCATACTTGGTAAATAGTCAATTAATATATTAATGATGTTGATATCATGCTGAATAACATAGAAGAGTTTATAAAGCAAGTTCCATCATTCAAAGAATCAAGACTAAACTCATTATATTCGGATTTTGAAAAAAACAAACAATTAAATCCAGAAGGTTATCAAGCAAATATACAAGCATGGAAGTCATTAATTTCAAAATTAATTACCTCAATTAAATATGATTCCGAAAGTCAATTAAGCCTATCTGTTTATAATCCAAATCTTAAACATGCGTTAATGATACCTATATATGGAGAGCCTAAAAATTTGAACGGAATTTTGCAAGAGTTGGTAAATGAAAGGTTTTTGGTTCCAGAATCATTATTCATGGGTGCAACAGAGACTTATATTGGTGTTGTAAATAATCATTTCACTTTAAGAGATTATACGTCAATTAATGCATGGTTGCATTGGAGATCATTGAAGAACTTTCAGGTATCGAAAAATGATAAATTGGTAAATGATAAATATATATACTGGGATGAATTAGTAAAACTAGGTGAGAAATTCAAGAACAATATAAAAAGTAAAATAGTCGATAACGAGAGATACTCAAATACATTATTTACAAATGATCAATTATACAATAAGATTAATAAAGAACTCAATATAACGAAACAGGATTTCAAGATATTTTTGAAGTATATATCAAGGGATTTAAAACTATGTAAAGTCAAAGAGGTAGATGGAGTAACATATATAAAGTTTCCGAAATCAGAACGAGATGAGATCACGAACGAAGACATACTGATAATAAATATCAAATCAAATTTACAATCACTAGATATTAGAGTAAAAGAACTTGAGAAAAAATTACAAAACATAGATCTAAAGTCAGTACTAAAGTTTCCAAAAGATATTCAAAAATTGAAATTATCACAATTGATAAAATTCAAAAAAAACTTGACAATAAAACTAGATCAAAATATATCATTACAAAATGAAATGTTCAACATATTAAATAAAATTAATGATGCAAGATTCAACATTGATTACTTACAAATTTTATCAGATAGTGCAAAAGTTTTAAGTAAGTTCAATAATGCAATTAATATTGAAGATATTGATAAAGTTAGAGTTGATATTGATGACAAGATTGCAAAAGAACAACATATAAGTGATGCATTGACTGAAAATAAAGAAATTGAGCATGATGATGAACTTGATAAAGAATTAGAGAAATTATTAGAAGAAGATAAACTAGATAAAGAGGCTGCCGCTCAAGAAGATTCTACAAAACTTGATGAAGAAAATCAATTACTACATAAATTGGAAAAATTAAAAGTTTTAGATCAAAAATCAGAGTCAATACCAAATGGAGAGAAAGCAGAAAAGATAATTGCAGAATAGAATGTTCATTTTTAGTTATTATTGTATATTATTTTACATTATTACATTGAAAACCTTAATAAAAAAAAAAGAAAAACCTAAACTAAACTTGAATTAAAAAATTGACTTCTACATCTTTAAAAACTCACCCTAAAATTTGTAAAATTTGTTGAGTTAAATTATATAATTCAACTTTTGGATCTTCATATTCATCAGAATTATTGCTTGATTGAGTTTGAATTTGTTGTTGAGAATTACTCATTTTTTTAATTCCCGTTAAAATAGCTTCATCTTCTTTTATAAATGTATTAAATTCAATACTATTCGATTCTAATAATTGTAAAATTGTCCACAATGCTATATGTTCAAAAGTTGCACTACCCAGTTCCAAAAATCTTATTAAGAATCCATGTATTCCTTCATTTGGTTGTTGCCAATTATTTAAAATATATTGCTTGTGATCATTTGACACTCTTGAACATAAGTTAGCTAATGCAGCTGCTGAATTCCCACAAACTTCACCATTCTCTGAAAAAGTTAATGGTATTAATACATCTATAATATGAGATTCATATAATTTTGGTTTTAAATCATCTGCTAATGCCAAGATTGCAAAACATGCTGAAATTTCTGATTGTACTGATAATGGAACTTTTAAAACTAATTCTTTACATTTATCAACTGCTCCTGCTGCTAATAATGCAGTTCTATTTTTTTCACTTGATGCTGCTAAATTTCTTAATGTTGAAACTGCATGACATTGAATTTCTTCTGAGTCTGTATAATCTAATAAATCAACTAATGGTTTTAAAAATCCTGCTTCAATAATTAATGCTTCATTTAATGGATGTATTGAAATATTTCTTATACATGCCACTGCTGCTAATATTAATGGTTGATGATTACAAGTTAATAATTGAACTAAATGAGGTAATCCACCAGCTCTTACAATTTCAACTTGATATCCACTATCTGATGCTAAATTTCTTAATGCTAAAGTAGCTTGACATTGTACTCTTGGTGAAGGACTATCCATTAAATTTACCAATTGTCTTACTAATTTTGGTTCCGTGTTTGCTAATTTTTTTCTATTTGATTCATCTACTGCTATATTTGATAATGCAGTAGTACAATAATATTGAACATCAGCATCATCATTTGATAATAATGATACCAATACGGGTACGGCTCCTGCATTTACTAATTCATGTCTATTTTCTCCCAGATGTGTCATATTCAATAAAGCACCAGTTGCATTTCTCTGTACTCTTATATCTTTCAGTTTTGCTAATTTTGTTAATGGAATTAATGCACCACTTTTGGCAATTTTAGATTTATTATCATCTTGTGTAGCTAAATTTGTTATACAACCAACTGCATTACATTGTACTTCAATATTTGTTGACATCATTTGTCTAATTAATGGCTCTAAACCTCCCATTTCAACAATTAATATTTTGTTTTCCGTATTGACTGCTAAATTCCCTAATGCTCCACAAGCAGCTCTTTGAACTTCTGAATCTGTAGATTGTAATAAAATTAAAATTGGTTCTAATACATCTCTATTAACTTCTCTAACATCTTTTTCTGTAATTTCCGCAAATGCTAATGCTGCACTTCTTTGTAAATCGATATTTTCTGAATAAACTAAAGTACTTAAAGCTCTCAATGGTCCATTACTGAAAAAATCTACATCTGATCTATTTTCCAAATATTGTAATAATGCAGAAATTGCTTCTCTTTCGTTTTCTGCTAATAATAATTGATTCTGACTCCCATCTCCACTTGAATTACCTAAACAACTGCAACATGCACCCATTTTTCTAATTTGGTTATTGGTAAGTTTAAACTGAAATGCTAGATTTAAAAGTTGAAATAAAAGTAGTTAATTAAACGAATTTTTTGATTAAATTGAAATTAATAATTTGCGTATTGATATGCTGGTTGGCAAAGTTAACACAATAAAACGAAATGATTAAAATAAGTAGTGAATTGAAATAGTGAGCGTAGTTAAATATATTTTTGTATTACTATTGTGTTTGGTGATTAAATTAAAATGACTTTGGATAGTATAAATTCGATGAATGACAATAGATTATAGTGTTGTTGAAACAGTTATCTTATTATCTAAAATTGTTTATCAATAAATTATGTTCCAATTCCAAAATTTATTTTAAATTCGTCTAATTAAATGAATTGGTAGCGTATTTTTATTTGCTACTATTAAGTCAAATCGCGTATATATTCAATGGTCACCTGATTAGTGCGTGCAACTCACGTGATTTATATTAGAATTCTATATACAAAAATTATTCAAAACTTTCAAATATGAAGTCAAAACAGTTGAATTTTCATCTAGATTTACAAATCGTTCAAGGTTTAATTTTATCATTAATGGAGCAGCTTGAGCTGATTCCGTAATTTACTTTTATATTACAATTAATTTTATTCCAAGTGTATTAGATCAATAAGTGATGGAACAACCAGCTTGGAAAAATAGAATTCAGGAACTTCTGCATATTACAATAGATCCATTTTTACAAGATTTATCAAAGACATGTCTAAATGATTCAACTAAATATGATTTCCTCAATGATCCAGAAGCCAAGATTGATCAGTTTTTAAAGGATTCTATTATAAAATCTATGGAAACATCAATATTCCTACCTCCAATACTAAGAAAGAAAAGGAAATTGAATGAAATAGATCAACAATCTCAATCTCAGGAACAACAACCACAGGAACAACATCTGGTAGAAGTAATTAATCAAGTACGGAATAAAATATTGAAACATGATCATAAAACCAAACCATTTAACTCAATATCATCATTGAAAACTCAAAAACAAATAGATAAAGAAGAACTAGATAAATTTTTGAATCAAGACTTGAATCAATTAGAAATTTTATCGGTACCTGAACATTATCCTATAAAGCCTCAAAATGTAAGTTCATTAACAGAATTATATTATTTAACTCAAACATTAGCTTCAAATAAACTATTACCAGGAAGTCATAAGGCTTTAATGACAGAAAATTATGAATTAGCTTTGCTAGAAGGTAAAGTTGCAGTATTATATTCGAGAATTGAAGAATTGAAAAGACAAGGTAAATGGTCTTCAAGACAGCCTGAAAGATTTTATGATCCTTTTACTAAATCCAAAAAATTTACTTGGGATAATCTTTTGAAAGAAGCTAAATGGATGGCAGAAGATTTTAAAGAAGCAAACAAATATAAGAAATTTTGTTGCGTTACCATGGCTCAAGCAATTCAAGAATTTTGGAATTTAGGTAAAGATGCAACATGTATAAAGAGAAAAGAGCCTGTACAAAAACCAATAGAGACTGAAAATGAAGAATCAATGGAAGGAGTAATTACAGATGCAGAAGCTGAATTAGAAGTACCATCAACCAACATTAATCCACAAATAATTACAAACAACGAAGATATACAACAAATAGAGAGCGAAGAAAAAGTCACCACATCTTCAATATTTTCCAAATTACAATTAAACTCATCTACAACAGTATTAAAAATCGATGACTTGAACAAATTTGCAAAATCAGTGCTAAAGTCAATGCCAGACTATTTACCATTAAATGAACATAGACATGGTCATCCGATAGAACCAACTGATCCACCAATTGTAGCAGTCTCAAAATTATTATTACCATTTGAAAAAGATCAAGGTTGGTATAAAGTTGTATTAAAAACTGCGAATGATAATATTGAACCTCATAGATTACCAGATTATCAAAAGGGAGTTTTTGGAGTACAATCACATCGTAAATTTCAAGCATTAAAACCACCAAAACCACCATCAATTAGTAATATAGAATTTAGATCACCCACAATTTGGCTGCCTGAAGATGACAAAAGGTTAATTCATTACGTTGCTGAATTTTGTTTCAATTGGGATCTTATTGCAGAACATATTTCGGTAGGCTCATTTGCTACAAGTTTAAGAAAATACGAATCAAATATTGAAAGAAGAACTCCTTGGCAATGCTTTGAAAGATATATTCAATTAAATCAAAAATTTCAATTTTCAGATATGAAAGGTGGTTATTCATATCATGCACAACAATGGCTTGAACAAGCTCATAGAGCTCAACTGACGACAAAAAGAAGAATATCTCCTTTAGGAGTTGGTAATGAATCCATTCAAAGAGGTCATAGAAAATTAAGATGGGCTTCAATGTTTGATGCAATGAGAAAAGCTATGAAAAAAAGAGAAGTAGCATTAGCTAAAATCAATCATAAAAGATCAACAACTGAAACCCAAATTAATCAACAAAATGCAATTGCAAATGGTGACAAACGTGCAAATATAAGTAAAACACCAACACCTGCTGAATTATCAAAGTTGAAATATGAAAGAGATAAAGCTATTCAACTAAACTCAAGAAGCCGGTTAATGCAACTTCAACAACAGCAACAACAGCAACCACAACCAAATAATCCACAATTGCAACAACAACAACAACAACAGCAACAACAACAACAGCAACAACGTCAACAACAACCGCAAATACCACAACAACAAGTACCCACACAACAACAAATTCCAATGCAACAGCAACAACAACAACAAAGACAACAACAATTGCAACAACAAATGCAACAACAACAACAACAAGCGCAACAATTGCACCAAAGGAACAATCAATTAAATCAACAACTACCAAAACAAATGCAACAAGAAGTTCAAAGTCGATTTCAGAATCAACCACAAAATATTCAAAACAATCAAGATTTCAATTTAGCGCCAACTCCGAGACCAGAACAAATTTTACAAAGAGCTCAAACTGCAGCAATGAATGGAATGTCATCACAAACTCAAGTTACTATTAAAGATAATCAATTCCCACAACAAAATTCATTAAAGATTCCAACAACTACAAAAGATGGTAAACCATTAACTAATGAACAAATTCATCAATTATTACAAATGGAAAAACAAAGAAGATTATTACAACAACAACAAAGTCTTGAATTCCAACAAAATATGTCCCATCAAAACAGTCCAGTTTATGCTCAACAAATCTTGCATCAACAACCACAACAATCTCAACAACAACATCTCCTGCCACAACTGCAACAATCATTACTTTCTCCACAACAACAACAACAACAAAATTTACGACAATCAAGTCCCCCCAATATGCAATTCACTTCAAATCAACAACAACAACAGCAGTTAAGAGCTGCAATGAATTCACTGTCAAGTAGTGGTAGTCAAAACCAACAAAGATTTTTCCAACAATCTCCACAAACTCAACAAGCAAATTTACAATTAAAACTTCCCCCACAACAACCGCAACAACAACAACAAAAACCACCACAACAGCAGCAACAACAACAACAACAACAACAACAACAACAACAACAGAGACCCAGAATTAATATCCCACCAGCTCAAATATCAGCTATTATAAATTCAATTCAAAATCAAAATCCAGGATTTTCAAAAGAACAAGTTACAAAATTAGCAGCTCAATATTTAAATAATTTACAGCAACAAGCTCAAAATAGAATGAATAAAAATATGCAAGCTCAACAACAGCAACAACAATCAGGACACCAACAAAATCAAATACGTCAACCAATGAGTGCTACTTCTAGTCCTCAATTGAATCAAACTAATATGTATAATAGTAGTAGTAACAATTCCAATAACAACAACAATAATACGGCGAACATGAATAATAATAATAATAATACAAGCAGTAAATAGAGTAATATAAATGATTTGTAACAATATTTAACATCTTAATAATAATCTTAGTTATATTTAAAGTCCAATCCTCTCAAAATTAAAAAAAGTGAGACAAAACCATTTGAAAAAAAAAAATCTGTAACATTATCAAGCACATTATCAAGTACATCACCAAACCAAAAAAAAATGTCATTAACATCAACAAACCTAAACAACGTTTTCCCCTTATTAAGTAGAGGTAAAGTCAGAGACATTTATGAAATTGACTCACAAACATTATTATTTGTAGCAACAGATCGTATATCAGCTTATGATGTTATAATGGAAAATGGTATAAATGATAAAGGTAAAATACTAACTAAATTATCTGAATTTTGGTTTAATTATTTACCTATTGAAAATCATTTAATTAACAAAGACATTTTCAAAGAGTATCCTCAATTAGAACCCTACAGAGATCAATTAGAAGATCGTGCTTTATTGGTTCGTAAATTGAAATTAATTCCTTTAGAAGTTATAGTTAGAGGTTATATTACTGGATCAGCATGGAAAGAATATAAAAAATCTAAAACTGTACATACTATTCCTATAGAAGAAAATTTAGTAGAATCTCAAGAATTCCCAACAGCGATTTTTACACCATCAACAAAAGCAGAACAAGGAGATCATGATGAAAATATATCACCAAAACAAGCTGAAAAATTGATAGGAAAAGAACTTTGTGATAAATTATCAACTACTGCAATTGAATTATATGAAAAAGCAAAGAATTACGCTAAGACAAAGGGAATAATTATAGCAGATACTAAATTTGAATTTGGATTAGATGATAATAATAATTTAGTATTAGTTGATGAAGTATTAACTCCAGATTCTTCAAGATTTTGGAACGCTAAAACTTATAAGTTGGGTGAATCTCAAGATTCTTACGATAAGCAATTTTTAAGAGATTGGTTAACTTCAAATAAATTAGATGGGAAAGAAGGAGTTAGTATGACTCAAGAAATTGTTGATAAGAGTAGAGCTAAATATATTGAAGCTTATGAACAATTAACTGGTGAGAAGTGGGAATAAGTTTTTTTTGTAGTGATATAAATATATTATATATATATATTATTAATTTATGCGATATTTACGTACTTCCATATTTCTTTGTCTTTCATATTCATCAGTAACTCTAAATTTTCCAAACTCAGAAACTAAATTAGTTGGGGTAGTGGTCGTTGTATTTAAATTTTTATTCTTTAGGATTTTTAAATCATCTAATGTTTGAGGACCTTTAGGTCTTGCTTTTAATCTATCATTAACTTCCTTATCGACTATTGACCAAAATTCAGTTTGATAAAATAATCGAATTTCTTTTGATTCTAAATCGAGTGCTTGCTTTTTAAGGTTGAATTCTTCTATTAGGGTATTTTCTAAATTTTTAAATTGATTTTCTTTTAATCGAATTTTGGATTCTAATTCGTGTAATTTCTGTTCTTTTTCTAGTAGATGATCTTCTCTATCTGCTAGTTTTTGTTCTTTTTCTTTGAGGTTCTTATCTCTTATATTTAGTAAATTTTCTTTTCTTTTTAATTCATCAGTTTTGGCAATTAATTCATTTTTAAAATTTGTTAGGGAGGTATTAGTATCATTTAATTCCATTTCTTTTCTTAAAAATTTAACACTTAATGAATTCATTAAATCATAACAAGTAGGTCTTTCATTTGGATCAACAGTTATACAATCTTTTATAATAGATCTTAATTGTGATGAATAAATTTCATTAATATGAGGTATTGAACCTCGTTTAATTTTAGCTTGTAATTGTAAATGAGTTTTAGCTTGGAATGGTGGTTGTGAATTACATAATTCAAATAATACACACCCCAATGACCATATATCACATACTGGCAGATATGGTTCATCCATTAATACTTCAGGTGACATATAATAAGGAGTTCCGACATAAGTTTTTGCAAAATCATTTGATGTAGTTAACATTTTAGCTAATCCAAAATCACCTAATTTAATTAAATCATTTTCAACAAAAATATTATCAGGTTTTATATCTCTATGTATAATAATTGAATCTGAATTTATTTTAGGTTTTGGAGTTGTAGAATGATTATCATTAAAATTAACTTTTGAAATATCTGATCCATAATGACATCTATATAATGCAGATAATGTATGTATTAAAACTTGCCATATAAAGTCTTCAGGTACATTATCATTATTTTGTTTAAAATCTCTTATATATTGAGATAAATCTCCACCAGAACAATATTCCATATATATATGAATAACTTTTTGATGTGGTAAATGATCATGACCATAATATCTAACTATATTTTTATGATTTAAATTTTTAAGGATTCTTAATTCTGATATTATTTGATTTCTTTCTTGAATATTCATTGATTTATATTCAATTTCTTTTCTAACTAATATTAAATTTGTTTGTTTATTACGAACTTTACGTACAGTTCCATATGATCCTTTACCTATTATTTCTAATGCCTCATATTCATTATTCATTATTGCATATTTAATAAACTAAATGTAGTTGAAGTGAAATTATTATAATTGATTCAATTGAAATGAAAGTAATATTAATACTACTAAAATAAAATGAAATATTATATCTAATAATTCTCAATTAAGTTAAATCAAAACAAATACACAAATCAAATTAATTGATTACACAAAATATTATCATCATGGGAATTATTTCAAAATATTTATTCAAGCTTTTTAACAAAGTTTATATTTATTCAATGAAAAAGTTATAGATTACAATAAGAGATAAAAAAGTATAAATGTTAATGGTTTTGTAGGTTAATTACTTGGGTTAAAGTCCAAATTACCCGACGAATTTGGAAAACAATTTGTAGAATATATTAAAATTCTCGAATAGTTATTGACCCATTAGATTTGTATTAGTTTCTTAATACTAGCAAAGTATTCCCGTCTGATATGATTTTGAACTTAAACATAAATAATTTTATTATTATGTAGAAAGAAATAGAAAGAAACTTGTGAATATAATAAAGAGATCAAAATCTACAATTTTTAACAATATACAATACAAATAATACATATAATAATTAATACTATTAATGGAGTATTGTGTTTCCAAGATTCAATAAATCTACTGATCAAGGTTCAGCATTCAATTACAAATTCAACCATCGAAGGGCCAGCAAAAAAATTTTGAAAAATCTACCTTCAACACAACTTCATTCAAAATTGATAAATCTCCTCACCAATCAATTCTAAATTGAGCTTTGTATTTTAATATTGTAACCATTCATATCAATCAATCAGTAATTGGTTGATATAATAATGATTATAAATAGAATGTAGTTATCAAACTTATTTTAAATTAGGTTCCTCTAGCAGTATTTCACTAAATGAGACGAAAATAATTATTACTTAAAAGCTGATCCAAAGTCAACAATTTTTTCATCTACATGAAATTTAACTTGAGATAATAAATGTTTCATTTGAAGAAATGTACGACGAATTGAAGACAGTAGGAGTCCTTAGTATATGTATTGAAATTTGTACACCAAAAGCCTAAATGATTTAAAAATGATAATTAAAGAATCAGATATCTGGGAAGTTTGCAATCACATAAAGGAATATTAGGACCTATTAATTTCTTGAAAAAAAATATTACACGGATTATTGTGATGTTAGCACTTAATCAATTACATGTTTTGAATAATAAGCCAATATGTGGAAATTCTTTCATCAACTCATGACTAACCAAATATAATCAAACTATATACTTGAATATTTCAGAAAGAAATGAATGAATGCTTCCATCAACCATAATATTATTTTGGATCAAACCCACAAAATGATACTATGTTGATTCAACAAATATGAAAATGTATCCACACTCTGTCCTTTAGACAAAAAATTTCCTATAGAAAATCTCCAGTTTGGGTTATATATACTACCACGAAGAAAATTATTTAGCAGTGAATACGATGCAAAGATTGAAAACATCTATAAAAATGATTTGATGGAAATAGACTTGCAGTAAGTATAATAATTATATAATTTATTTAAAAAAATTTCATATTTTTTTATTTTGTTGAAGATTAATTAATTAGAGTAGATTTTAAATCGCATTAAATAGACAAAAAGAAGAAGTAAAGCTTAATAATATATTTACACCTCTATATTTATAATAATTACTTGATCATTCATAAAGTTAGATTACGAGAACAATTTGCTCACTCGTTATGACTACTAAGATTCACTGATAATAGTAGTATTGGGTTGTAAGATTAATTTAGAAAAGAAATGAAATAAAGCACCTATCAATATAATTTATTTCTGGATCAATCCAACAGACTGACAAATGTTGATCTGACATTAACAAAAGTAATCTCCGGATCAACTCAATTTTATATGAAAAATGATCTGAGTTGTTAATTAAATGAAAAATAAAAATGAATTAAAAAATGATTTTATTCAAATTGAAATTGAATAAATTTTAATTCGTGTAATTTTTGTCTTTATCTTATAGAATCCTAATCAATTGTTATTTCAACTGGTTCACCCATATCCAAATGTACTCTTCAAAAAATCGCAATAATTAAGAGTACAACTCTACAATTGTAATTGGAAGATAAACAAATACAATCATACATTAACTTTAATTAAAACTCACGAACCAATGATGGATCATGAAGAACTATCAATGATGCAACAAAGATTAACTGTTCAAAATTTAATCGAACAAGAAATTGATAGATATATTGATATTCAAATTTGAAAACAGATAAAAAATTAATTCTAAAACTATCATCTTGTGGAAGGAGCCATACTATTTAACGTTGGAGAATCAACACAATTGTTACAATATAAGTACGAATAACACTAATCCTACTATATGAAAAAAAAAAGTGGAAATGAAATTTTCTCAAATTGATCAAAAAAACTTTAGTTGTCAAGTGATCTTTTAATCTTTCAAATCGCAAAAATCTAATAAAAATGAATATATAAATTAATTATATTATCTTGATTAATCCACTTGTATGAAGTATAACTTAAAGAAATAACACGAAATTAGATCATGTTACTTTAAATTAAAACTTCAACTTGACCACCACAATCATATATTATCAACTAATGGTTGTTATATATAATCTAGTGGTGCCCATGTAATTAATTCAAATAATCAAACTTCTTGTATAGACTTTAAGAATTCATCGAAATATTATTCAAGTAATAGATTTAGTGCCGAATTTGTCAAAAAAACGTTGAATTCATTAGTAACCTTCTAAACAATGAAATGAAATTCTTCATCTCTTTATTTGGTAATAAAAAAAAGTCTATGACGCTTTAGTTGGTAAAACCATAATGATCTATTCAAGATATTTCTTTGTAATTCAAATCTTCTGATCTTCAGATAATTGAATAATAAAAAAAGTTTCATATCTAACCAAATTAATCAACAAATTGTTCAATTATCAAATTGATTAATTCAAAAAGATATAAAATTGAAAAGATATATGATAATATTTATAAACTTTATTCAATGGAAAAATTAACAACGCATTGACCAGCCCAATTCTATGAGGTAAAATCACTTTTAATTTGAAATAAAAATAATTTATAAATTGAAAGAAAAATTTTAATCAAAGATGTAGAATTTTTTTTTTCAAGGCAAAAAAAATGATCTCCTTTTAAAATCAAAATTAATTTATGTAACAAATATTCCAATTTATAATTTCTTAATATTTTGTTACTGATTTTTATATTTAAACTTATAGACAAATAAAGTATTAATGAAAAATATTTTATACATACGACTATATTGTATCTTCTTTAAATTCTAGTGATTTGATCTAATCTATTAATCTTTGGGAAATATCTGAAATTCTATTGTCTAATTTGTCGCATTATTTGATTGTCAATTAACTATTTGTCATTCAATTGAATATTGTTGATATTTTGAAATTACGTACACTACTCCTATAATCTGAAACATTTTAATGTTATTGAATTTAGTATGTTAAATTAATTATAATATTATAATCAATTAACTTATGGTCTAATATTGAGCTGAACCATCCAAATGTCATGATTATTGCACTGTGTTATCTTTGGATGTATAAGTCATAGGAATTTAATAAATTCCACAGTTCAACTACATCAACAATTTCAATTCTTTCATTTTTATATACTGTTACTTAGTTTTTTTCGTAGATTAATATAATCTGAAATTTTAGTTCAAACTCATATTTGTAGTTTTTTTTTGTTTCTTAATGATATTTGGATTTGAAATTCTCTCGAAATATAAAAATTGACGTTACAATGACCTTGATATAATGGATAAAGATTGATAATTCAAATTTAAACTTTGACTTATTCTACAATGATATGATTATGAATTTCAAAGGAGCTCAAAAACTACAATTTGAAATTCAAATTTAAACATCGTAGAAATTTAAATTATATGTATATATTAAATTGAAATGAAATTCCCAAACATATTTTCAAAAAATTATTAAGAATTTCAACAAAAGGAAACAATAATTAACAAAGATATTAATTTAACGGTGTAACACACTTTTATTGATCTACTTTTTAAGTAAAAACCGAGTTACAAATACAATAATCATAAATAATTAAATTGAATAATATACATTAAACTAATTAAATAATAGCATATTAATATATAGGATATTTATATTAAAAGCTACTATATAATAATTGGAGATATTAATTCGCCAAAAAAACAAAGTTTAAATGTCCTAGTAAGTTTGATGATTCCAAATCATTTGATCCAGATTTCATTCATAAGAAGCATAACAGAAAAATTAACTATGACGGAAACAATTTAAAAGTGCATAACAAAAAAAAAAAAAAAAGATAAAATTCATACTTCGCATTTTGCAACCAAAATAAATAAGATACAAAAATACAAAAAATTATTATAATTTATTTTTAATACAACTTTTATTTTTTATATCATACTCAAATTTCTTTGATACAATCAATTTAGTTTAAACAATTTACTACAATGGTTAAAAAAAAGCACAATACTACTACATCAAGAATCACAAAACCACAAAAATTTTCAAAATTAATCCCTAAAAATTCATCTGCAACTGCATCAACAAATAATCAAACTAATATTCATTCGAAAAATGATTTAACTATATTGAGAGAACGAATCATTGATATTTTTAAAGAGAAAGATGATGAAATGATCAATGATTATAATAATAATAATAAGAAGAAGAATATTAATAATAATGATGATAATAGTATTAATAATAATGATGATAATAATATTAAAAATAATGATGATAATAATATTAATAATAATGATGATAATAATATTAATAGTAATTCACAAATTAATGGTGATAAGGACAAACAACTACAACAACAACAACAGCAACAACAACAGCAAACAGCAATATATGAAGAATCAAGTTTAAGTCCAGTTCCGGAATCACTTTCAGAATGTAATTACGCTTTCAAAGCAGTTAGTAGTACCACTCAACAAGATGAAACAACATCACCTAAGACTAATAAACCATTTTTAAATGAAACAACATCACCTAAGACCAATAAACCAATTTTAAATGAAACAACATCACCCAAGACTAATAAATCAACTCTAAATACTAAATTTCAAACTATCAATGATAAATCAACAAATTTAAGAATTTTAAACAATACAAAAAATTTAAAAGAAATTTCAAATCAAATTGAATTTAAATTAAATCAATTATCAAAAAATTATAAATTTAAAACTTACAAGTATCAATTACAAATTTCTTTAGAAAATCTTAAAAATGAAAAAATGGAAATTATAAATAATATTGCCAAAAAATTATCATTTGCAAATTATACAAAAGAAACAATTTATAATATTTTAACTAAATTAATTCAAGTTTTAGGTCCATTAAATATTCAAGAAGAATTTTTAATTTCCAAGATTAAATCATTAAATGATACTAGTGGGGATGATAATTGTTCAGATAATTTAACTAATGAAGAAATTAAGATTATTAAACAAGATATTGAAATTTTACAAAAACAATTTGAGGGTTTTGAAGGTTTGATTAAATACAATTCAAATAATGTCAACAATCATATTTTAAATGGTGATCTATTAAATAATCAACCAGTTTTAGGTGAAAACTTGAGTAGTAGAAATGGTAACGGCAATGTTAGAAATGAAATTAGATCTAGTAGCAAAGTTAATTTTAATGGAAATGGACAAGTTGTTGGAAGTTCAGATAAAAACAATGCTCAAGCTAACGGTGACGATACTATTAGTGACAATAGTACTACTAATAACCATGCTACTATTAGTGGAAATGGTACTACCAATGGTGGTGGTACAAAATAATAATTTATGCTATTATATAATTATTCTTTTGTTTTAATTAACATTTATGTTCTATTTTTGAACCTTCTGTGTAGAAAAAAGTCTGACTGCATTGCATTGGCTATTCTAGTTACTTTAAACCTCATCTTACAAGTCGTAGAGTTCAAAATCTTGAAGTTACCAACATTTTTAAAATTTTTTGTATCATTCATTAAAAGTACTTAGATAAAATAGAAATTTTTGTCACAAAGGTAATAATTTTGCAGCCAAATTGTTTATTTGTGCGATTAAAAGACTACAATCTAATCTACAACATAAAATTCTTCAAATCTTTCATATATTCTATGCAAATAAACTACAACATTATATAATTGAATTCATCATCATTTAAAGCATAATTGGAATTTTTATCATTTAGATCATTATACTCAAGGTTCTGACTCTACTTGTCTCTTCAAAGATAAGGAAATAATTGAATTTGATCTAACATGATGCCAAAAATTAGTTCCGTTATTGCTTTTAATAAATATTATTCATGTTAAAATATTGTTGAGGATTTTTAGCACTTCAGTTTCGAGGATGTTAAAAATTTTAATTGACGTTTTATATTCCCGTTATACCTGTAAATAAATTCATTTATAATAATTCAGATTGATTTTATAAATTCATTATTAATTTTGAGATTCTTGTGTTTTTTATTTTGCCAATTAATTTCACCTTCATATTTTTCATCGATAGCTTCTCTAAATTGACTGAATGGATTTCCTTCACTATTTTTATGATTGATTCAAAATTAATTACCAAAACTTCATTAATTTAGTTGTATCACATCCCAAATATTATCTTTTAGTTACTTGATATCAATTCATTTAACTACTTTTGAAAATTTGCCATATTTTGATTCCCTCCTAATTTTTTATACCTGCTATTGGAGAAACGCGTCGTTTAGATTTAGGTTCCAAAGCATCATTAGAAGTAAATTGGCTAATATCATCATTAAGTTCAACATATTCTGCTTGATGAAAGAAAACACCTTAAAATCACGTCATTACCTGATCCATTTAATTTATATCTAATTCCGTATCGGATAAATTTGAATTATCAAGAATGACTTGACCATGCTTTAGGAACATATAACTTGTATTTGAATTTTGTAAGTTGCAATTTCTCAGTTTTAGATGACTTCCCTGTTTTGCTGATTTCCGTTCATGTTAATATAGTAGTTTTTTAATGTTAATATAGTAGTTTTTTAATTATTCCTCATACCTATAATTAAAAGGTGATTTTCCATCAAATAGTTTGAATTGTCAAATAGTTTAGTGTACAAATAGCTTCATGGGCTTCATAACCCTTACCAACTAAATAAATTTTCAATCTACCAACTTCTCAATCTTTAAACTAACAAAGATTAATTTATTCGCAAATGATACCAGAAACTAGGAATTCCCAAATGTTTGAGCTATATCTTTGACTCCTACTTATTATCTTAGTTACATATCAAAATCAGTAAGTCAAATAGTTAAATCTTTGAATATTTCCAATACTTTATATCTATTGCTTAAATCCAATAAACGTTTATAATTACTTGTCAATAACATTAGGTAGAATTGTCAAATCTTTAAACTTTTCCAACTCTTTTTCACCTTGTGCTTTAAAAAATTCAAAATTATATTTTAAATCAATAAATTTAGATAATTGAACTGATTGTCTTTTTAAAATTTTTGAATTTAATGAATTAGAACCAAATGTATTTGCAAAATTATCATTTTTCAAATTTTCATAATTTTCAATTTCCTCAAAAAATTCTGCTTGATTTTGTTGTTGTTGTTGTTGTAAATTTTGTTGTAATTTTTGTGGAGGGATTTCTATATCGTCAAATTTCATTGGTTGGAGTTTCCAATTTTCTACATACGTTGATTGATTTGGGTTATTGAAATGTAAATGTGTGAATGATCCGTCTTTCATTTCTATATTGTTTGTGGATGATGATGTTGAAATGTAATGTTTTTGGTTGTATATCAAGTGTTTTCTTTTTTTATTTTTTGGTTGTAAATTTTATTACATATACAAATTTATTTACAAATAATCTATGATTAAGTAATATAGTCGAATAATGCAAGATTGGCAGATGAGTTCAGTTAAATCCCTAACTAAGAGCATAATTAATACACTACAAAGTAGATGATACTTGTAGGATGATTTTATGATTTTCATTTATATCAATTTTTTAACTTTATATAAGAAGATTTATATATACTTCATTTTTTTGGTAATAATCAATACCAATATATTAGCTTAATCAGATAAACCAATAACACCACAAGCTGGTCTTGCACCAGCATGACCAGTAGTTTTTGAATCTTCAAATCCACCTTTACCATAATCATCAGTACCAGCATGAACAACAACTGATCTACCTAAAATAGAATCTTTACCAATTAATTTAATTAATAAATCTTGTTTTTCACCTTTTGCTAAACCATTTGAATCAGTAGAAATATTTCCTAAATCTCCAACATGTCTATCATCATCTTCTGGAGCACCATGTGTTTTACCAAATGGATTAAAATGTGGACCAGCAGATGTACATCCATTAGTATTATCACCAAAGGTATGAATATGAAATCCTCTTAATGCATTTGGATCATTACCTGAAATTTCCCATGAAATTGTTGTTGGATCTGATTCTGAACTTTGTTCAAATTTAACAGTTCCATTGACTGATGAATCTCCTCTAACGACAGCGACTATATTATTAGAGTTAGTATTTTTTCATAAATTGTTAATTGAGTCAATTGAGTTGAGTTTGAGAAAATTTTGAGTTGCGGAGCGTGTATCGGAAAAGGAATATTCGGACAATTGCAATCTCAATTGATTCAGTTAAATTGTTGTCAATAAGTCAATTGATCACTATTTGATTAAACATACCTGCTTTAACCATTTTATAAATAATAATAATAAATTGATATCAAATATGTGTATAAGTTTTGTTCAAAAAACGTTGATGAAATAAAAAAAAAACTTGTAATAAAATAATTGTGGAATATTTTAATATGTTTTATATAAAATATTGTAATTATTTTATTATTAGTAATTTTTATAATAATAAGGGATTAAAAATAATAATTGCTTTTTCTCCAAACAAATTAAAGTAAGTAATACTAGTAAGCCGCACTTATTACCATTTTGAAACACAGTTTCCTTGAATTCCATGAAGAATTCTAAATTTCATTAACCAAATTGTTTACAAATATTTCAATCATTCTAGAATTGTTTCTGTTATGACAAACCACTGATAATTATAAAATTTAAATGGATGAAGTTGGTAGTCTAGTTTTTATTTTTTATTAAAATACTTCTTTGATTTTTAGGCAATTCTTGTGATTGTTATACGAGATCTAACAATGTTTAATTTAGATTAAGACATTGTAATTAAAGGTTGAAGAAAGTGGAAAACTATATTTATCACAAAATTTGGGATGAAAAGATGAAGAATTTTATAAAAATTGTGCAGAATACAGATTAAAGGAATTTCAACTCAATTTATACAATTTTCTAATTAGTAGAAAGATTATTGTTGTAATGTAGAGCAAATATTTTATAACTTTAATGGTTAAAGATAAATTGCGCAAGATATTTATTTAATTATTTGTAGAATATATTTTGAAAATATTATATAGAAGGTTAAAATATCAATGTGTAGATGAATCAAACTAACTACTAGACTTATCTCTGATTAAAAACAGCGACTTTTACTTATCATAATTTTTGTTAATTCCTATTCGCATAGTACAAGCCATTATTCCAAATTTTCAAATATGTATTTTTTAAAGTATTCGATAATAATAAAAACTCTTCAATTGGTGCGTCTTTACTGAAAAACCACTCACCTTTATCATCATAATAGGTTTCTAAACCAATATATATTCCTTGTGTTACAGCACTGCAAATTGCAAACTGACAAAATTTCCACATCATTCTTCTATCACTTAAATTTAAATTCATATAAATCAAATATTTAAAGGAAAACAATTCAAAAGTATTGTTCAAGATAATTAATAAATTGATCAAAATTAAGTTGATTGCTGATTTCAATCTTGAATTTGTATTGTTGTAAAAATATAAATATGAAACTGATAAAATTGGAACCAAAACGAGAATAATGTATGATAAACTAGTTTCTTGTAGCTTCATTTGAAAATCATGGTACAAAATATAAGTATTGGAGAAAAATGTGGAAGTAACTATCAACATTGGCACAATGAAGCATATTAAGGTTGAGACTAATTCTTTATTGTTTAAACTGAATAATGTTGCTAAACGTTTTTCCATATATTGTGAGCGAAGTTCAACGCTGAATGGTATGAAACTGTATATAGCTGTGATGATGAACACACCAAAAGAATTTAGGAAAAGTTTCATTTTCATGACTTAAATAGTATCTTCTTATTGATTTTAAAAAAGACTTAATAAAGTAGATGTATGTGAAGACAAATACTCTAGTTTTGGAAACTTTTCAGGAACCTAAATAGTCTAGTTGAAAAATATTGATTTCCTCAGGATAAAGGTCTACTCTTATACATTGGGCTTCTATAACAGCATTAAAGCCACGTAGTTTTCTTTTAATTACATTAATCTCAAATGACAATAGTCTAAAACTTATCATAGCACTAACCATTGTTAAACTCATTAAAAAAATTTAGTCATTATTTTAGTTAGTAGTTTCTTACCCCCTAATACATAGAGTTAAACTTTAAAACAAAGACCAAATTCAAAGCGCAATTTACAAAAAAGTATCGACAGTTTATAAGTTTGGTTCTTGTGTTTTCGGGTAGTGTGAACAATAGCTAGCAAACCTAATTACTCACTTTTAGATTTATTGTCAAAGTGAATGATAGATTTGGAAAATTTGCCATACAGTTTTTCTTCTATTAGCTCTGAACTACTTTGATTCATGATTAGTCAGTTGTTTGGTGACGTAATTAGTAGATTTAAAAGTTTATGAAAAACCTCTTCAATCGAGTTGTAATTTTGAATTAAAATTGGCATACTTCTAAAAGAATTAGACCATACTTTTTGACATTTTACTTTTGTGACATAATTTTTTAGTCAAAAGTTGCAAAGTATAACCAATTAACAGATATTAAGATTAATGTAATAACGCCTAACGACAAGATGGCTGTCTAAATAAGTAGGAAAATCAAAGAGTGAAGTCAAATTTAAAGTGGTCTTTGTTCAGGAAATTCAATTCATTAAGAGCCCTTGTTTTGACCGTCAGATTGTGAGATAACAAGATATACAGTCTTTAATGCTTATGATGATCGCTCATTTGTGAGATGAAAAATAATAAAACGCCATATAGTATATTCTCCATAAACATGTTATTTCGTAAATCATTCAAACATATAAATACAACCTGTATATCTATTTGACCCAATTTCAATGAAATTATATTGTAATGTCTTAATTTTCAATTATAGTTTCTTCCTTCACAACAACTTCAGGTTGATCTTCCTCATTCTCACCACTAGGTATTATTTTCTCAGTCTTAATAATTTTAGTTAATTTAGTATGATCTTTATGTTTTGTATTTGTAGGTTTTTGAGGTGGTGGAGGAAGTGGTGGTAAATTTGGTAGATTTGAGATTTCATAAAATAAATATAATACTGATATTGCTATCATCCCCGTATATAACCAAAATCCTTTTCTTTTTAATTTATTTATGAATTTATCTAATGGTGTGTAGTATTTTTGATAATAAACCAACATTTTTGTAAATTTATGATTTGGGTTTTTAATTTAGTCTTGTTCAGTGCTTTTATATCTTTGTTGTGACAGTCTAATATAACTTTTAATTGCAGTCTTTATCTATGGAATTGCTTAATTATAATCAATTGATTGATGATTCAATTGAAGTGTAAAGAAAAGTTAAGAAATTACGTTTGCTAAAACAAAATATTGATACGTAACACAAAATCAGTTTAAAGGAGTTCAATATCCGAGAGCACGTGAACTTTTCAATCTAGATGTTTCAGGTTTTTATAATATTTTGCAATATAATATAGTTGCAGTTGACAAATACAACATAGTTTAGTACGAAGAATACAATATAAGAAGCGTCAATTAGCTAAAAAAAACCAACGGATTGCAGTGTTACAGTACCAAACTTCCCACTCTTGAGCAATACTAATAATTGCTATTTATTTGCCTTGTTTTTGCTAATAATGTGCTAAATGTGCTCCCAAGTTTTAGAAAGATAAACTTGTGCGATAACTGTGACAAATTACTGTAAGCTCATTAAATATGCTGTTGAGCCAAATTATTCCAAATTTCACAAGATCCACTAATTTCGTAATCATATTCTTAATTTCTTGCTGTAAACTAAAACTTTAATTTCTTGAAAAAAAAAAAAATATTTCTTTTAAATTTTTCAATATTAATAATCATTTCTCACATACCTCAAACATTCATTTCAAAAAACCAACAAGTTAATTCACCAATTCCCACCCAAATTCCAATATGACAGTAACTAGCAATCTGATAAAACTAACAAGTGAACATCTCAACTTCTTAAATGAAAGTTTACAGTCATTAATACCACAAGATTTAATCAAATGGGCATATTTAACATTTCCAAATTTATATCAAACAACAGCTTTTGGATTAACTGGATTAGCTATAACAGATATGATTTCTAAAATACCCAATACTAAAATAGATTTAATTTTTATAGATACATTATATCATTTCCCACAAACTCATGATTTATTAGCTAAAATTGAATCAAAATATCCAAATTCTAAAATAAATGTTTTTAAACCACAAGGTATATCTAACGAGACTGAATTTGTGGAGAAATATGGTGATCAATTATGGGAGTCAAATGATAAATATTACGATTATTTAGTAAAAGTTGAACCAATACAAAGATCATATAAAGAATTAAATGTAAATGTTGTATTAACAGGTAGAAGAAAAACACAAGGTGGGTCAAGAAATACCCTTACAATATTAGAATTTGATGAAGTAAACAACGTCATAAAGATAAATCCATTATGGGATTGGGATTTTAAAAAAGTTAAAAATTATATAGATGAAAATAAAGTACCTTATAATGAATTATTAGATTTGGGGTATAAATCTGTGGGTGATTGGCATTCTACTGTTCCTGTTGGTGATGATGAAGATGAAAGAAGTGGGAGATGGAAAAATAAAGCTAAGACTGAATGTGGTATTCATATTGCTAATGAATTTACAAATTTCAAATAAAAAAAATTTAACTTGAGAACTAAATCAATTTTGGTATATTAACTTATTTATGATATTTATTAATACAATCTGTACATTTGTTTGCTTAATGCTTTTACTATCTCATTCGACACTTACTATAATCGCTTTAAATTGAATTATGAGTAGTCTCTTCGTTATAAATTAATTTACGAGGTGATACTATGCACAAAATCAAAAAATTAGTGCGGAATTCTTAAAAGATAAGATAAAAGATGGAATTTTATTTCTGTACTATATTTTTCGAGTTATCAAATTGTTTTTAATATAAAGATAGCTAAAACCGACATAAGAATCAAATAAATGCTTACTTTTGCTCAACTATCTTTATTAAGATGCTCAAAGATGTGCTAATAGAGCTACTTAGCTTCTCACAAATTCATCCATTAATCACAATCGTAATAGTACTATTGTTACTATGTTTGTACTACACTATATATTTACCAACAACATCACCATTATGGAAAATCCGAGGTCCATATCTATATAGAATCACCAAACTTCCCTATTTAAATCATCAAAGAAAAGGTTCATGGATAGAAACAGTTTACAATTTACACAAACAATACGGATCAGTAGTTTTATTATCACCACAAGAAATAAGTGTTAATGGATCATCAAATTTCATAAATGATATTTACTTGAAAAATTTACCAAAATCTAAATTTTATGAAAATTTTACAAATCATGGTTCCGATAATATTTTCGCAACTTTAGATAATAATAAACATAAGAAGTATAAGAAAATTATTAATAAGTTATATAATAAAAGTAATATTTTTAGTACTGAGAATAATACCAGAAGAATACTAATCAATACTACTAAATCATTGATTAATAATATATATGAAAGTTCCGTGTATGGTAACTCACCAGATAATAATACGGTTGCATCAATTTTCAATCCACATGGAAAAAGTCATAGAGAACCCAGTTGGTACAATAAATCTAACCAATCAAAAAATTTATCAATGGATGTGTTCACATTATTTGGAGCATTAGCAATGGACGTTGTTTCAAAGTTTGAACTAGGTGAAAACAATGGAACAGATCTTATACAAAACCCTCAGGAGAGAGAAGTAATATTGAAACATAGACAAGTTTCAAGCATGGGATTTTGGACTACTTTAATGCCCCTGTTTTGGAACTATGCTGCAAATTCAATAGTATTAAAAGCATTAGAAGATATTACAAATTTTCAAATTTCATTATATGAATTTGCTGAACGAAATTACAATACAAATGGTAAAAATTTAACAACCTTAGAAACTTTAAAAAGTAAAGGGTTGGAGGGTAATAAAGCATATCTGTTCTTAAGTGATAATTTATTTGCTGGTCATGAAACTACGGCTGTTCAATTATGTTATTTAACTTATGAATTATCAAGACCTGGAAATAAACATATTTTGGAGTCATTACAAAATGAATTATTTGAAAATTTTGGTAAACCTACAACCACTAATAATATAATTGAAGATTTAGAAAAAATTGATTCATTACCTTATTTGAATGCATTAATTTTGGAAAATTCAAGAGTTCATAGTTCAATTCCAGGTGCAGAACCGAGAGTATTAGATAAAAATTATCAAATTGATCAATTCATAATTCCTAAAGGAACAACAATATCTTGTTTACCATATGCATTACATAGAGAACCATCAATTTTCCCACAATATGATGATTTTATACCAGAAAGATGGTTACAATATCCAGAGGAGTCAGAAGAACAGTACCAAAACAGAATAAAATTACAAAATAAATTTATGATGCCATTTGGTAAAGGTATAAGAATGTGTTTAGGAATGCAACTAGCATTAATAGAAATGAAATTAGTAATTGCAAATATATATTGGCAATTCAATACAAAGTTAGATGAAGATTGGTGTATTATAGAACCTGTATTAAAACCAGTAAGACTAGGTATCAAAAATCGTGGTGAAAATAAATATGATTTCGAATTGATGACTATGTTTGATTCTTATACTATTCAACCTATTAATGATGAATGTTGGTTAAGATTTTATGAAAATTGATACTAAGATAGATTGATGGTATTAAGAGGTAATTAGTGGTAATTTATATATCCGATCATTCCTTAATAATAAATTTTTCATTTCTGTGTAAATAGGAATACTTTTTTATCTCTCAATATTTTAATTTATTAATACGAACTACGTCACAAATTTAGTACGAAATACAATACAAATTAAATCCAAATCAATTAGATTTACTTTGTTCTACTAACTAAATTATAATCCTCAAATCGCCCCGTGTTAATATTTGATTTGATTTAGCTTTTTCTTTTTCTCATTTCTATTTTTAAATTTAAATTTAAAACATCTTTTTAAGTCAAGTTATTAATCATTTAATTATATATTTATCTATTTATTCATTTATTCATTACTATTTATTACTAATTCAATTGAAACAAGAAAATTCCACAATATATTTAAATATATAAAATGTTACCATTTGCTTGGCCTTATCCACCAGAACAAAAAAATGGATTTTGGGGAATACCTACATCAACAATAGATTGGTGTGAAGAAAATTATGTTGTTTCCACATATATAGCAGAAGCATTAAATACTTTAACTAATTCAGTTTTTATAGCATTAGCTATATTTGCTATATATACAGCTTATAAAAATCATTTAGAACCAAGATTTATTTTCACTGCTTTAGGTTTTTTATTAGTTGGTGCAGGGTCATGGATGTTTCATATGACTTTACAATATAAATATCAATTATTAGATGAATTGCCAATGATTTATGCTACTTGTATTCCCTTTTGGTCTGTTTTTAGTGAACGTAAATCAAAACAAGAATCTATTGCTATTGCAATTGGAATTTTCACTGCTGCTAATACTTTAACTGGAATTTATTTACATTTTAGAAATCCAACTATTCATCAAGCTGCTTATGCTATATTAAATGGATTTATTATTATAAAATCTATAATTTTAACAAGAGAAAATGTTTATGATAAAAAGGCAAAACAACAATTACAATATTGTGCAATATTTGGAGTTGGTATTTTCTTGTTTGGTTATTTTTTATGGAATTTAGATATTCATTTTTGTGATCAAGTAAGGTTTACAAGAAGACAATGGGGGATTCCATACGGGTTTGTATTGGAAGGTCATGGTTGGTGGCACATATTTACAGGTACTGGAGTATATTTTTCATTAATTTATGAAGAATACCTTAGATGTTTTATGACTGGAACTGAAAAATTTTATGAATTTAAATATGTATGGGGATTACCTGTTGTTTCATGTATTGATCCTCATGGATTAGAGAGATATAGATCAGTTCAAGAATTGAAACATGAAGATGAATTGGTTTCACAAGAAGATAAAAAGAAACAGTAAATAGATAGAGATATACAATTTTGATAAATAGGCTAGATATAGAATCAAATTATATTTATTAATAAATAATTTACAAATTTTATAATTCTAGAGCTAATGCTGAATCATTTAATATGCATTCTAGTTTAGAAGCAGCCAATTCATTTGAGTTCAAGCTTGGTAACTCAGCTTTAAACCTTTTCAAATTTCTCTTCAATTCATTAATTTCTTCATTAACTTCATTTGTATTAATTTTTCTCTTTAATTCATCTACTTCCAATTCACTGGCTTTTCTTTTGGCCATTTTTATAATTTTCTCAGGAAAACCAACTAATTCAGCAACATTTATACCAAAAGATTTTGAACCAGCACCATTTTCAATCTTATACATTAATGTTATATCTTCTTGATTTTCAACAAAAGCAACAACATGTAAATTTTCTACCTGGTCAGGGTATTTATCAGCTAATCTTGTTAAATCATGAAAATGGGTTGCAAATAAAGTAAAACATTTCATTTTTTGAATTAAATATTCTGATATTGAATGAGCTAAACCAAACCCATCATATGTGGAAGTACCCCTACCTAATTCATCTATAACTATTAATGAATTTGTTGTAGCTGTATGTAAAATTGATGAAGTTTCTAACATTTCAATCATAAATGTGGATAATCCTTTAAGTTGAGAATCACCAGCACCTACTCTTGATAATATAGCATCGAAAATGGGAAGTTCAGCTCCTTCATTTGCTGGTATATATGAACCTATCTGTGCTAACAATCCTATAGTGGCTATTTGTTTCAAATAAGTTGATTTACCACCCATATTAGGTCCAGTTATAATATTAAAATATTTTTTATCTATGTTCACATCATTTGGTATAAATTCAATTTCATCTTGTGCTTCTAATAATGGATGTCTTGATTCCACCAAATTAATTTTTCTTTCACTTGAGTCCAAAGGAATCAATGTTGGTTTAGTGTATGTAGTTGGAGCTAATAATGCAACATTGGACAAACTTATTATAACATCAAGATGTGATAAATCTAAATTTAATAATAAAAATACTTTTGAATAAGTTAATGATATTTTCAACACTTCCCTAATTAATTCTCTTTGTCTTACATTGTATTCATCACATGATTCATTATATATTTGTGACAATTGTTTTAATTCGGTTGTGGTGAAATAAACACCAGCTTTAACAGTTTGAATTTCATTGAATTTTTTGTTATTTCTTATAACTATTGAATCAGCTCTTGTTAATCTCAAACAAAATCCGTGAATTTGATGATTTTCTAATTTTAGTTTCTTTTCCAGATCCATATTTAATTCAGAAGCTATTTCTAAATGTAAATCTTTTATTTGTTCTAAAGATGATACTTTTGTTTTGTTGATTGCAATTAAAGCTTCATTAAATTCTGGTCTGATATCAAAATTGGAATGAAGATCATGTAATCCTTTTAAATCTATAGTTGTTTCAATTAATTCTTGATATTTAAATAAATCTTTATGTCTTTGAGTTAACGGATTAAACCACCATTTGTTGACTAATTCATTTTGATTTGCTAATATTTTAATTAAATCTGGTAATGCCAAAACAATTTTGTATAATGTTACTAAATCTTCTAATTTTTTATGTTCATTACCAGGTTTTGCACAAGCTAATTGTATTTTCTTAATAATTCTTCTAATATCTGGTATTAATGATAATATAGATTGGATTTCAACTCTTAAACTTGCATTATCCATGACCAATCCAATTAATTCTTGACGTTCTTTTATATCTTCAACACTTGTTAAAGGTTGTTTCAACCATTGTGATAATAATCTTGAGCCACCTGAAGTCTTACATTTATTTAATAATTCAAAGATTGAATTTATAGAAGTGGTGGATTGAAATTCTGGGAATATATTTAATGCTTTCATTGTGGATGAATCAACTCTCATATAAGCATATAAATCGTATTTCTCTAAGATGAAGGATCTTTCATCTTTTAATAAATCCAAATATGATACCAAGGCATTTAAACTACCTAAAGATCTACTATATTCAGAAGATTTTATCCCTTTTGATGATAAATATAAATCAATATTTTCTTCTTCTAATAATTTCAGTAAATCTTGTTCAACATTATTGATACCAAAAGATTTTGAAGTAGTTATAACAATATTACCAATCTTATCAATTAACTGTTCTAATTTCTTGTCGGAATTTGAAGGTATAACTACCTCCTTAACTCCAAATTGTAACAATAAACTCTCTAAATTTGAATATAACTCATTATCATCAAATTCACTAAGATATATCTTGTTTTCTTCAATTATACAAACTCCAATATTATTGTTTTGGACTTTGATACTTGCAATTGTGGAATTGGAACAATCTTGAAATTCAAAATTAATACCGTATTCTTGACTGATATGTTCTAAATTACCGGCTGTACCACTTGATATTATTTGATAATTTTTGTTGCTATAAATTTCAACTCTACATTGTTTTTCTAAAATATAATATTTTAATGTAGTTTGGAATACTTGTGGTGATATAGTAACATATTTAACATTATCTGATACTTTAATAATTGATTTTGTCTTGTAAATATCTTTTGCTATTAATTCAGCGTCTTGTTGTAAACATGAAAAATAATCCTTGTTATTATGATCTATAAATCTAATAGTTGATGGATCTTTGTCTTGTAAATTTTTAATAAATTGTTTTTCATTGCCAGTACCTGCAAATGTTATAGAAAGATTTGTAGCTGTAGACATATGAGTTTAGACTGAATTGAGATATTTGTGATGGACGCTCTGATAACTGTAACGATAAATAAATAAGTAATAAGACCTAGTAAAAATGAATGATATTTGGTATATATTGATAATAAATGAATATACAGTTGCAAAAATGATCTTACTTAATATTCTATTTAGAATTATTTAAAACGCGTTCTAGAATTTAATATCGCGTAATGTGACGGGTTTTTATCAATGTCGTTATAATTGATTTTGCGTCAATTACTCCTAGATCTAAACCGCGCAACCAGATGGTTCAGTAATTTTTCATACAAATTAGAAGCAAACATTAAGAAACCTCACTTTAACTTTAATAATGAAAAGTACCTATTAAAGTAATGCGCTTAAATGATAATTACTACAGGTACACTTGTTTAATGAGGAACATAGTACTTCTTGTACTCAAGGTATTTAATTGTTACTGTTATCTTTAATTAAGTATCAAATTAATTCAATTTAGTCTTACGCATTATAATATTTCTTTTTCATTAATTTATCAAAAATAAGAAGTTTCTTTACTTGTTGAGGATAATACTTAAGATTTTACTAGTTAATTGTTAGCTATTCTGAATTGATTGAATTGAATTTATTTTTCTTGATAAATTAAGGAGTAATAAAAAGAAAATTAAATAAAATTTTTTTCTCAAATACAATTCAGGTTTTTCATTCTAATGTCAAATATTTGCCAAGCTAATAATAATGATATTATTATTAGATTAATTACAATAACTACTATAATTAATTATTAGATTGAAATATTATCATGGTAGTAATCTAAAAGATCAAGAGAGTTTGTGATATTTGTTGTGGGGGGATGATATTTTATTTTGATAGTTTTAACAAGATCTTAATAATTTGCAGTCTAAATTTTAGATCTAATGAGTTCAGCCGTTTCACAAAGTTTCATATCTCAGTACTTTTAATTTATGAATTTTGGAGATACATGATTAATTAATTAATTAATTAAAGTAATTTTAAAGTTTCAACTCAAGTGGTTATCAACTTTATATTGTTACTTGGCATTTTAAATTTTTTACAATTTTGGATTAAGTATTGAAATTATTAGATTAAGATGTTTCATTAATAATTTGAGGAGAATTTATAAAGGACTTAATATGCTCAATTTTCATAATGATTAAAAGAAATTTGAACTAATAAAAAACAAGTAAAGTTTAAATATGAAATTTTCATCTTGGAGTAAAATTGCAATCATTGCATCACTTTCAACTGTTGTTGTTGCTAAATCATCTCATAACTTAGTTGATGCTAAAAATGTTGTTTTATCAAGAAGATCTCAATTAAGTCAATTGGAAAAAGTAGGTCTGAAATATAATCTTAAAAGAGATGAACATGAAGAAGAAGAGCACGCCCACGAAGAAGGTGAAGAAGATCATGACCATGAAGAAGGAGAAGAACATTCCGAAACATTTAACGTTACTGGTTGTCATATGCATGACGAATCACTTCATTGTTTAGATCCAGATGGAGTAGAAGGTGTTATATCTCCATTACCAACTGATCCGAAAGAAAGTTATACTGGCTGTCATTCACATGATACTCAAATTTATTGTATGGATGGAGATGAAGAATATTTATTTATGAGAGATACTGATATTGTTGGTGATAGTGAAGAAATTACTTGTCATTTCCATGCTGGTATTGAACATTGTACTTATGCTAATGGTACTGAAGTTAATTCATTAGATGCAGGTTCATGTGAAAAAATAGATAGAGATTATAATATACCATTAAGAATTGGATTATTATTTGTTATATTGGTAACTAGTGCTATTGGTTCATTTGGTCCTTTAATGTTGAGATCTTTGTTCAAGATTTCAGCTAATAATATTATTATTGTAATTATTAAACAATTTGGTACTGGTGTTATATTATCCACTGTTTTTATTCATTTGTTAACCCATTCATTTTTGTTGTTCTCAAGTTCATGTTTAACTGGATTACATTATGAACCTACAGCAGCTAGTATTGCAATGGCAGGATTATTTGTATCTTTTATTTTGAATTTACAGTTTATAAAATTTTATCTTCAAGATTGGAAAAATCTAAGAGTGCAACAACTGTCACAGATGAACATGATAGTACTGAAAAAGTCCCAATTGAACATCATTCATCAAATGAGGAAATATTAGCGACTAATGAACCATCCAGATCAACCTATGATAAGTTATCAGTTATGATTTTGGAAGCTGGTATCGTTTTCCATTCTATACTATTAGGTATTACTTTAGTAGTTGCAGCAGATTCATATTTCATTACATTATTTATTGTTATTGTATTCCATCAATTTTTCGAAGGGTTGGCATTAGGTTCAAGAATTATAATTTTAAATACTTCCATAATCACCAAAATGATAATGGCATTAATCTTTGCATTAATTACACCAATCGGTATGGCTATTGGTATTGGTACTTTAAATATTTTCAATGGTAATGATCCACTGACTATTATTGCTTTAGGTGTGTTAAATAGTTTCTCAGCAGGTATTTTGTTGTGGACTGGATTAGTTGAGTTTTTATATAGAGATTGGTGGTATAATTTGAAAAATGCAAGCTGGATAAGTACAACTTGTGCAATGATTTCTTTAATTTTAGGAATGTTTTGTATGAGTTTATTAGGTAATTGGGCTTAAGTTATTCAAAATGAGTATTTCAAACTTACTAGATTAAGACACTTGGGTAGTTTTATAGGTAATACACTTCGACTAATTTTTACTTGTTTATTTCATAGTAGTCAGAACAGAATCTAATTTGAATATCAATAAGAGATAGAGAAAACTACAAATTTATGTTTAAAAGAAAATTTCAGATTATTATAATCTATGAAGAAAACTAACTAAAAGTATATAAATTAAAAGAATTGAAATTGTTGATGTAGTTGAATTGTGGTACTTATTAAATTCTTATGACTTATTTGGTGGCCATATTTATTACATTCATACATTCAAGCAAGAATATATTTTATTCTATAAGCATTAGAGATATTATTTTAGATTAGTAAATAGCTTTTGGAGCTAGATTGTAAATGTAGTTGTACAATTATTTTATCCTGATATAGAACATGAAAGTTGATCAATAGTATTGACACAAAATTCACATGTCTTAGTGTATCATTTATTTATTTAATGATCAATTGTAATTCTAATCTTTAAAACTCTACTCTTTAATTACCGGAGAATGAATCAATTTGTAAAATTATTGTTAGTGTAAATTAAATTAATTAAAAAGAATCTACTTGTTGATTTACAATATATTAAATGTAATAAGATCAACTTAAAACTACTTGTGTTTTTCTCAAGTAATCAAAAATTAAAATAAGAAATGGAAAGAAGTAAACTATTTATTATTTTTACACAAAAACTCAATTCTTATAAATCAAGATTTCTGGAAAAAAAAAATGGAAAAACAAATCAAGAATTAATGATTAGCTACTCCTTTTCATGTTCAGTTACTTTGAACCATGCATTTAACCAGCTTATCTCAGTTTGTTTCATGGCAAAATTCCTCATAATGTGTTGATACTTTATTTAATTAGGAATTAAGTTGTTTTTTTCAGAAGCCTTCAATCAAGTTCTAATTGATGTGTTTTAGTTAGATACAAATTAAATTTTCAAAATAAAAATTTGAATAATTTTTCCTAGTTGTATTTATCAATTAATAGTCTGACTGTATTTATAAGGGTATCAGGCAGTGAAGCTTCGCTCACTTATATTACATTAACTTGTCATCGTTTTTAAGTGTTTGTCTACATCTAGTTTGTGGTCCGTTTGGAATACCTAGACACGTACGACAAAAAATTGAAGGAATTACATGTCTGCAATTAATATGTATTAATCAAAATCTCATTTGATTCAATATAATTGTTGTGATACCAAATAAATTCAATATATTTTATTATTATTATAAATGCGTTTCTGTCATCAGTATATCATAAGAATGCAGCGAAAGCTACTTTTGGGTAAAGTTTACTTTTATGATTATCAATATATTGTTGTTTCTCAACACGTTCAATTTATTATTATGATTTATGCAAATCCACAAAAATAGGAGCAAATGATACAATGAAAAGAAAATTTTGAAGATCACCGTTTCGATTTTAAGTCCTGGGGTTCATTCGAACTCCGTATATTTGATTTCAGTATTATGCGTACTTGTGCTCAAAGGAACCAACACTCATTATTAAAATTTTTGAAGATTTGATTTTGAAAGAATTCTTAAACTTTTCAAGTTACTTGTTCATTTGTTTGTATTTTTCAGTTATTGATATTAATATGAATATTTAGACAGTAAAATTTACTTTAAAATTCTGAGAAGTTCTCAATTTGAAACTAAATTTTAAATGTAACTTGTATTTATTCTTGATGTACTAGTTCTGGGTCTCGCTACGACTAGTGAAGCCAGTTTTTACCCACATATTGTTCTGGATCCTCCAATGTGATAAGTCTATTGTTGTTATAGTGATGTTTTTTTTCTTTATCCCATTTGATGTTATTGTCTTTGAGATTTTGATATTGATAGCATTTTCTGGCATGATATAACTATTCCACATATAGGTTTTGTTAATGTAAGTTTACTGTAAAATTGTATTATGTTGAAAATTTAATTGTATATTTGGACTCTTAGTTTTCTGAAATACAACTTGTTAATAAGTTTTAACATACAAGGTTTTCCCATACAGTAAGTGAAGGCTCTTAAGGACAATTCCAAGTGCTTAGGTTGGTTTAAAAAAATTTACAGTAAACTTTGTACGTAATAATCTTTTAGATTTCTTAGAACAATTTTTTCTAGATTCTTACTGTGGAGATGATTGATAGAGTATACGATTGATTCGGGAGGTATTGTCAAAAGAATAAGGTTTTCTTTTAACTTCTAATTCTAATGAAATAAAAATCAATTTGATTAGAAATAATAATTCAAATTTCATCAATTATCAGTCAAACCCCCTTNAAAAAAAAAAAAAAAAAAAAAAAAATTATTCTTCAAAAAAAATAAGTAGAATAATAATCTATTATGATTTATAATATAATATATAATATTAATTAATACACGCGTTTTTACAATTTAAAAAATTTCCTATAATTAATATAAATAATATTAATAAATAATTTTTAATTAATTTTATTTTATTTTGTTGTAGTTCAAATACTTCTAGTTTATTACCTTCCAGTTTTCCACATAGGCAACCTTTTCAACGCCAAACACCATTAACGTTTGTTCAAGCAAACAATGTAATAGTATATGAGAATGTTAATTTATTTCTTTCAGAATTAATCAAAATTTTATAGAGAAAAACATTGATTCAATTTAGTTAGTTATAAATAATAATTATTAAATTATTGAAAGATAGAATTAGCACGTTACTATCTTTCAATATATTTGAGTTATGTTCCGGTGCTAAAAAGTTTGTTGATTCTTAAATAATCAATAATCATCCTTTGGTTCACAAGCAAACAATTAAAGTATAAGGAATACGGAATATTTATGGACTTAACAAATCCGGTAAAGTCAACTTCTTCAAGGTCTAATCAGTTGTGTGGTTCTGAGTTCAATTTAGGATTTACTTAAAGTTCTCTGAAAACATCTGTGTGAATGGAATTTACAATAATTGATCTGCTGCATCATCTTGTCCAATTTACAATAATTGATCTGCTGCATCATCTTGTCCTTCCAATACGAAGTCATCATAAAAATGTATTATTTCAAATCAACTGGTTACAAATAGTAATATTGCTTGGTCATGATTTCGTATTTATCAAAAAATTCAAGTTTTCGGATATCAATATGACTTCTTGATCAGTTAAATATATTTCAAATAGGTATAAAATTAGACATTATACATTTTTGAAACTAGATTTAAAATGTGATTTATTACTTCCAGGTTGATCTAGGCTGTCTTTCGACATAAATACGTGCTATATATTCCATCTCATAGTACATTTATTTCCATTATTATTTGTTAGTCAGTGAATCTGAAATATTCTTTAATATAAGTTTTACATGTATGATTGTATTATTAACTATTATACCGAAAATTTTATGTAGTTTTTAACCTCTTAGGCTCAATTCTAGATCGTTTTATAAGTCCTCAAAAGTTCACTATGACTCAAATTACATAAGATTTTGACTAGTTTCACTTTACAGTTCAAATATCACACTTTTTTTTTTCTATATATTGTTTCAGCCGGGAAGAAAATTTCTACAAGTGCTTAAAGACCTTCTAAAGCTAAAATATATTATTAAATTGTTGTTAAATTTTTCGTTTATAAAGAGTGTACCGTCATGGAAGTGACTAGGACTTTTGTTTCGTCCTGAATAAGTCAAAATTTGTATTGGTAGAATAGTTCTTTCAGTTGGCTTGGCCATAGCTTGGGTCATGAAGGTTTAGTATTTACCAAAATCAACTTCAAAATTAAGATAAGATTACATTATATAATAAAATCTACTTCGAAAAATATATCATTAATTCTTGAAACTAAATTTAGATGTCTATTCCTAGTAAAGTCGATGAACATATTAGCCCGCCTGTTTCAACTTTTTCATATTTTATTGGTATAACTTCTTTTGATTACTTGAATTGTATTTCACAGATTATTTACTTTGATTTAATATGACATTGCAGTTCGATAATTTTTAAGATTTAAAAATATACAATTTAATATCAATAATTTTAAATCTATAAGTAATGTTTTAGATCATATAATCATTCTTCATTTACTCCAAATTATTTATACGAATTTTTTTAGATTTAGTGTAAAGGAAAAAGAAAAGCAATTTTTAAAATTTGTATTTAAAAAGGTATTGACTTATTGTATTTATTGTATTTTGTAATTTGTTGATGAAACAATTATTCACAAACTTGTATACTCTTTAACCTTTCAAAATTTCACAATACATTAATACTACAAAAAAATAGAAAATTCAATAATAATCTTAAAAGTATTACTTAGTAATGTGCATATGTATTGTCATATGAAGTAAATGGTACCTTCTTTTAAGATTGTGGAAAAACAACTTAAATTAATAGATTTATATATCACATTTGATCTTATTGACTATCATATCTCAATTCTCAAGCTCAACTTCCAAAAGTAGAAGTATTCAAGAAAAAGATTTTCATATTAGAGATTTTTCACCACTACTTATTTTTATTTTCCGGGTAAATAATATATGGTATATCAACAAAATGTGTTAAAATTTTATTTTTCTATTTTTAATGTACCCTAATTTAATGGACCCTAATTGATCAAAGTGAATTTTCATGTTAGGTTTATTTATGAAGTGATTGTTTTTTCTGATTGGACATGATGCATATTGTACTATTTTTGATTTGATTTAAAAATGTAGTAATGTGTTTTTGTGTAATAGAGTCAGATTTATATGTTAAAGCTCTAAGATGATATTTTTTGAATCGTTAGTTGAAACCTTCTTTTCTCTCAGTTTCAACATACTTTTGCAGTTTTGGGAAAGATTTATATATTTTTAAGTGTGGTTCTTTCTATAAAGTGTTATTTTTAGCATTGATATTATATCGAAATTATATCCTATCACATTCCAATTACATTTTGATAAATCAACAATTAAAAAAAAAAAATTTAATTTTATCTTATATTAAACAATTAATTTTAAAACAACA